CTTGCAGTCCTCCTTCCAGTAGCCTCCTACAAAATTGCAGGGATGGACATAGAGATTACGACCGAGGTGTCGGTTCTAAACGTATCCAACGTTAGCAGCGTAATCGTGTGAGAGCGCAGTAGAGGGACGACATCATCTACTTACCGTCAAACCGCTTCTCAACAGCACCAAGGGGCTCGAAACTGATCCAGCCGACATGATAACCTTCTTGGCCTTGATAACAACCTGTCGTGTGGTCCGCTGCTCCAAAGCCGCGCTGGTGCTGCCGTTGGCTCCCCTCGAAACCCACTTTCCAACTACGCCCGTCGCTCGCTTGGACCCGCTGGTCTCGTCAAAGGTGACCTTCTCAATCTCGAAGCCCTCGATAAACTTGGCTCCAGATCCCGCCGCTGCCGGCAGCCAGCTCACGGTTGGACCCTGCTTTTCAGTCGACCCACAGCCGAGGTGGCACTGCCCGCAGTAGTGCTCCATCCCGCCGGTGTTCTGCGGGGCCGTGGCGGCGTGCCATCCGAGCTTCCGGGACCCGTCCAGCAGCACCTGGTTGCGGTGGTTGTGGCGGACCTTGTCGGTACTGACGCCCATGAAATCGCAGACCTTGTCAAGGCAGATTTGGAACTGGGGCGAGGCGAAGAATGGCAGGCCGCGCTGCTCAGACCACTCCTTGCGGACGAACCCTTGGGTCTGGAGACTGACGCTCCAGTTGACGGTGCCACCGCCGCCCCAGCAGCTGCCGGCGACCATGTTGAGCGAGTTGTCATCGCTGGTGATGAAGCCTCCGTTCTCGTACAGGAACGAGCAGCCGGCATCCTGGGACATGGGCAGCTGGCTCGGGGCGTAGTAGTACGACTTGTCGACAACGAGGACCTTGTGACCGGCCTCGGCCAGGACCTTGGCAGCGACTGCTCCTCCGCAGCCCGACCCGACGATGACGACGTCGGTCTCTACGACGGCTGGCTCGCCAGCCGACTCGAATTGCATAAAGTTGAAGTCAAAGCCCTCGCCGTGCGTCTGGAAGTCCGGCATGTCGGTATAGTCCGTCAACTCTATGAATAAAGGATTGGTCTGCACGGCGGCCTTTTGCGCCAGGAGACATATTGACTTTGATAGAACCCTGATTGTGGGGAGCCTGGACGTCTGCCAAGCCTTCAAAATTTGCTCACGAACTTCTATGGGTTGAAGGTGAACTGGGGTCCAGTACCCAGTGAGAAACAACGTGCCGGCGCGCGTGCTGTCAGTTTGGTCAGTTTTGGTTCACGGTGAAGATCAAAAGTGAAGCGTCGTGGTGGCGTTCATGGCCCATCACTTACCCAAGAGCGCCCATTGCGCCACCGAGTTGACGTTGCGCGCCGGAAGGCAGGGCCGCCAGTGTCCTGGTGATACTCTCGATGAATTTGGGTTCCTTTGCGGGATTGTGCGCCATGTACTCCTGGAACTTTTCCTCGGAAGGCGGTTTCTTCATTGTGTTCTGGGCGAGTTGGAGCGCAGCCGCATATTCTGCATCGGACACTCGGATCTGGCTTGCCGTGTCTGTGAGAGTCGCCGGTCGTGAGATGGGCGGGAGGACCGCCTCGAGCAAGGACATCAGAACGGTCCATTGAGTCTCGTTCCAAAAGTCGGTGGTCGGCAGCGCCGGAAGCTGGAGCTCGACGGCGGTGCCAGGAATGGTCTTTGGCAGAGTAGCCATGATGAAGTGGATTGGAGCGTGATGGTAAGTAAACACAGAAAGATGAGAATAGTAATCAAAGTGAACAGTTCGGTGGTACAACGCGATACAACGTAGAAATGGCTATAAGAAGGGGTAGAAGAACAATGACAATAACAAAGTTACGCAAAGTCGGATGAGGGGCAGCTTTGGAGTTAGCTATAGTCCCAATTGACACATGAGCGATGAAAAGGCACCTCGGAAGCTCATGCTCAACTGATGTCAGGATGTGTGGGTGGGAAGGCAACGGGAAAACGAGTCGTCGTTGGCAGCCCCCTGCTGCTCGCATGGTGGTGCTGCAGGGGTTCGTGTTTGCCATGGATGCGGGGTCTGTGCGACGAAGCATCTCAATGGATCTCTCCATAACCATCTCCTCTCTCTCTCTTTCGCTGTGGCTGTCTCCTCAGGCGGATGGGACCCTATTCCCGATCCGGTATGCTATTGGGGTGGTCGAACATTCAGTCAACCGCCAGCTTTGCGGCTAAAGATTGGCCGTCATGTTTAGTTCTGAACCGTCTCTTTGTTTGTGGTTGCAGAATCCCTCAAAGAGGAGTCTCGGACCTATGATTCCCCCCACCGGACCTGGCCAGCAGAGCTGTCAACACCTCTAGATGTGCAGCTTACTCTCTGCATTGGCGGGGTATGGCGCTACTGAGCGGCACTTGGGCGCATGTAACCCTCTCAACCCGGGGGCGAGTGGCGTAGTGCGGGAACGGGGAATCAAGAGAAGCTGCTTGATGCGGGGAACGGGGACTTTGGCTCGATCGTAACGGGCCCTCGTCGGAACCCGATAGTTTCTTCATCAGTCATCGTCAAACCAAAGGTCCTTTCGACGCCATATTCACGGCATCCCACTGCATGAAGCAGCACTATAATGGGAGCAAAGAGACGCACCACGCGATGTCAATTGTCGAAGGAAGAGAGACGCGGTTGCTGCACGTGTTGCCTCATGTTCAGACTTCCCAAGCGTCTGAGTCTTGAAACGACACAGCCGCGAGCTTATGTTTGTCGATATTTCAGCCACCATGGCCCCAGATGATGGTCAGATCGTCGGACCCGCCCGTTCACCTTGAAAGTGCACAGCGATATCAACAGGAATGATGCTGGGTTGACTGCTGCAGATCGTACGTTACCGTGGCTTGGGGTGAGATTCTTAGATTGTGGGGCAGATCGATGATGCGTCTCAGCGATTTGGCCGGGAAGCATTGAGCCTCGGCTCGCATGGACTGAGTGAAACGGGCAAGAAAACACATATGTTTCTCAGCTGGCCTTGTTGTGAAGTTGTTTATTGGGATGCGATCGAAATCGGATGATTCGTTGGCATGGCCACGAGCTTCAGTCGGAGAATCACAACTAGCAGTGCCAGAATCGAATGTCTGCAAAAGCTGTATGCCTCGTGGGCGCCAGACTGGTCGTCACGGGCCCGGTGTTTGGTGGCCCGCCGCCTCTTCCGTCTCAAGCACAGCCGCTCCAATCCACGGCTGGCAACTTGCAGACACCCGGCACCGTGTGCTGCGCCGACGCATAAGCCAAGGAACCACTGCCCGGTCCGGCGCTAGAGAGAAACGGCGCAGCCCGGCCCCAGGGCACCCAGGTTCGACTGCCGGTGGCGCATCGGGTCTACCGCGTGGCACCGCCGACTTCTCCGGGGGTCTGCGTGCCCGGGCGAGCGGACTTGTAAGCGGCGAATCGACCTGACACTGACAGCAGGCGGACGTGGCCCGGTGGGTACGGTGGCCAAAAATGCAAGATTGGCTCCCCCTCAGACCTGCAGCTACAGGTCGCGGCTAAACCAGACGTGGGCACTTTTCAGGGTCCAGCGGCGGGTCTTTCCATCCGTGCAAGGGGGGCTGGGTGTCATCTGGCGATGGGCGGTCTGGCGGCCAAGAGGGTTCAAAGGGGAAGCTGGGGCCGGGGTTTGCCTTTGAAGCCGAATTTGTTGGGGAAAGGAGACGAGAACGACTTGAAAAATGCATGTGAGAGTCGATCTGTGAAGAATTGTTGACTGACGGCGAACAAGGCGCGTAAGCCAGCAAGCTCTTCCTGGTCGGCTGATTTCCGTGTTGTAACTGTGGTAGGCCACCGTGAGTACGAAGATGTATTACGGGAGACAGCTTTGCTGTAAACGACTGTACTGTAAAGAGGCACGAGAGGTGCGCAAAATACTGTCGTGTGAGTGTTACCACCAGCGCATTATATTATATCTGTGCAGGTTGAGACTCCAAGCTGAGGCTTCAAGATGTACTTCGGATTCGTACCAGCAAGCCTTGTTGTCATCAAGCAATACACTCTTGTCCATTCCGGCCGAGTAGGCTGTCTGCTCCGAGCTCGTGTGACAATCTCATCATCGACAAATGACGGAATCATGGTCGCGTTCCGCTTTGAGAAGCACGGGGGACCGTGAAGATCGAGGCCCTTGTCGCTCACATGTCAAATGATGGTCATCCAGCGACTTCGTGATGATTAGATAACGGGAGAAAGAGGGTCCTTACCAGCAAGACCGTCCGTAGTAGTGGAAATCATCAAGGAAAGGGAAGAAAAAAAAACTTCGATACGATGAAGAGAAGATTGACAGAATTGGGCTTAGCGTTCCCCCAACAAAAAGGACGAAGGTCGGGTAGCCATGCTCCACGGCGGATGGACACTTGATGATTCGTGACGTGAACTACTTCATGCGCGTTAGTGTACTATGCAAAAAGCTCACGTTGACGTTATCAGACAAAGTGTCAACGATGAAAAGTACCTGCCGCATCCCCCACTAACCACCCACAACGGACCAGGGGCAACTTGCAAGGAGGGTCAGCCTGGGCTTCCAGAAGGACGACGATGGCCACGGCCCCCTGACAACCCGGCTGCAAGCCTCCAGGATGAGAATTGCGTTGCGCAGACTTGACTACTAGACTCGCGATTATCAAGTCCAACACCCGTCGGGAGTTCGGAGCCCCCGATGGGAGTTCGTCAGAGTCGGTTGTGTTTGCGGGCCTTGCCCAACATTGATCTCTTGGTGATCTCTCGTGTAGCCATCGCATAACGTCCAACGTAGCGTGACCTGAGGGCACTGACTGAGCGCAAGACAGCGAGTGGCACTGCGAGCTCTGATAATGCCAACAGAGGTGTCGAGATTGGGCCGGCGAGAGGAAGCCGTGGCCATGTCCCGGAAATAGAGTTGGAGCTGGTGTCCAAAGCTCCCAATGCGCCATTGCCGTTGTCGGAAAGACAAATGTCTGGGACTCTGGGCTGGGCAATGGGTTCCGGCAACGTGCCCAAGCAAGATCCATGTCGCAGCTTTTCAACCGTTTCAAAGCGCCTGACGAACTGCGCGAATCGGTGGGTGAAAGGCTGCGAAGTATCGTACAGACCAGACGTACTGATACGGGGCGCCGCGGCGCAAAGGCTTTTTTGCTTCGTCCAACGTGCGATGCTTAATTGGTTGAACCCTTCTGGGACATTTGCTCCGGGCGTGAAAACCCGTTCGCAGACGCATTTCGGCGTTGCCATATCGCCGTCTAGTCAGTCGCAAATTGGCAAGAACGATTGTCGACTCGTCGTCTTCTTCAAGGCTCAAGCTGTTGGTTCCCCCCCCGCCCTTGTTCTTAGCAGCTTGTATCTTTGGCGTTGCTCGGGCCCATCCTGCAAATGCCCCCATGCCTCGGGCGCCAGGATGGGCTTTAAGGACGGAACAAGGATGATGTCGAAAGAAGCCGAGGCAAAAAAGTGAGGGTTTTGGTCATTCTGGACCAAGTTGAGCTTGGATGAGAAGATGGAACCGAACCGAACCCACCCCCGTTCATCCATCCATCCAGTAGTGCCAATGTGGTCGAGGCCGTTTGCCTTAACGTAAACCGGTGATGGTTTTGCGGTGCCTTTCGTCCGTTGTCGAGCTTGAAGGTGTTATTCATGTGTCTCTCAACAATGTTCAATGTTGGTGTACCCAGCAAGTATCCACAACACTAGGAGTGGAGGTACAGACGGGATACTCACGTACGAATGGATACCTACTCTGTAGGCCCCGGTTTTTTGTCTCCAGACAGCTGGTCACTGGTGAGGAAGAACGGAAAGAAGATGTGCCTCTTGAAGCTTGGCAGGACCTGCTGTGTCGAATCGAAGGCTGTGGATGTCAGTGGTGGATTCCACATTGAGTAGTACCTCCCGCGGCCACCCGACAAGCCGGGCAAGCGCGCACGAGAGACTTGCGACTTCAGGAAGGCGGCGAGGGCCAGGTGCGCTTGCATTTTCCCGGCATTTTTGGGTTTTGCTCCGTCCGTTATTGTCAGGTACTTCGGTGAGGTACCTAAAATCACCTAAGGTCAGGTACCTTACGTGATGTATTCCCACGCAGAAGGGAGGAGGAACGAAGGAAGGCACGTTGGATCTCGAGCTTCCAAATTCACCGATACCTGGACCTTCCCAAGACTTTACCTTAATTCTTCTTGACCTTAGTCCTTCTTGTATGTTGCTCGCAAGAGAAGTCGTGAGAGTAAGTGCATGGTTAAGTGTGTGAGGTACATGAGCAGTACGTGCTTAACGTCGCATAGCATTGAGAAACTAGTGTGAGCAGGACGAGACATGACAAGGCAAGCCGCAAGACAATACACCACGACATCAGATACCTCATCTTCCACCGAACTCACCAGACTCTACCTTAGCTATAGTCTGGAGCAGAGACAACCGGCCACCGTACCGTTGCCGTTGGCCGTGCCGCACCTGACACCTCCCGTTGTGCTTTTCAACTATCCTAAAGCAGAAACTTGACGTGCGTGCGCTTTTTGTATGGTCTTGACTTGCATCACCTCGTCTCGCCTCGCATCTGATCCGTTCTCTTGCCGTTGCGTTGCGCCTTGGCCTCAGCAGCATTGCTTATGACTAAAGCCCGAGCAAAAGAGACAAACTTCTTTCCCGCTTTCTCCCTGACTGCTGAGTGACTCCTGATCAAGACACACTCCCCGCCAGATCCATCATTTCACCCGAAGCTACGTATCCGTCCATACAAATATATACTTGGTACTTGGTGTACCAGGGTGGAGGGGTGTTGACGAAGGGGAAGGCAAGGCACGGTATCCGTAAGGTAAGGCAAGGGGAAAAGGTGGGAGGGGAGGAGCCGCTGGTCTTAGTCCCAGCACATTATCCACTCCTCTCTCTCTGGGTGACGGGTCACACACTCTCTCATCCAGAATTTCAACCTTCCCCTTCCCCATATTAAGACCTCGAGGATCCCTTCGCATTGACCTTGTCGTCTCTGCTGTTCTTTCTTCTTTCTCTATTCTCCTCTTCTCTCCCAAGCTCACCCGGCACACTCTCGTCTCCTTCGACAAACCCTCGTCGGACTGGAACGTTGTCTTGGCCTCTGTCTCAAGCCTTCTCTTTCGCCAGATCTCTCTGTGCCACTCCCTTCAGAGAAACAGAGCTTCCTTCTCTCTCTTTCTCGTCCTCTCTTCTCTCCCACGTTCGTCCACCACCTCTTCTGGACCGGACCGCATACCAGTCGCTCGACGATCGAACCGACTACCGTCTCTTCCACCATCGACCCAATACCTGCGTGTGTGTGTGTTAGCACTACAGCTGTCAGTCTTCGTGCCGAGACATTACTGTCAAGAACGACTTTCGAACGTGCGTGCATTGTGTGTCTAGCTTGCTTTTAGCTTGTCACTCCAATTGCCGCGACTCAGCAAATTCCCCAACGCCCGAGCAATTAGCATTGGCGGGACCGCAACTTTTTCCAAAAAACCAAGCCCCGACTCAATTGGTCAATTAAGCTCCCCCACCATGGCCGGCGTCACCGTGCTCGGCGAGCTCCCGTCCGCCTCCCTCTTCACCTTCCCGCCCGATGGCGCGCATATGGCCATTCCCCCACCTTTCCCCGGGTCCATCGCCGCAGCCCCTCCGGTCCAAATTCCCGACAATATCTTCACCGCCGCTCTTGACCCCAGAGTGCCCATCACCATTGCCACTCTCTACGCCGTCACCGTCAAGCTCCTGAACAAGTACAACAACTCGACCAACCGTAAGCCTTGGGGAATCAGCAAGACCAAGCCCTTCTTCGCCTTTGTCGTCTTGCACAATGTCTTCCTCGCCGTCTACTCGGCTTGGACCTTCTGGGGCATGCTCGGCGGCATGCGTAGGAGCGTTGTGAGCCCCTTTGGCCCCAATGGTCTGGCTGCCACTGCCGACAGCTTCTGCCAGCTCAACGGCAACGGAGGCTTCGGTGCCGCCACCGTCTACAACGAGACTGTCGGTTACTGGTCCAGCTTGACCGGCAACAACGCTCTTGGCTTTGATGGACGCCCCAGCCGCGAGGCCACTGGCAGAATCTGGAACGAGGGACTCGCCTTCTACGGCTGGATCTTCTACCTGAGCAAGTTCTACGAGGTCCTTGACACCTTCATCATCCTCGCCAAGGGCAAGCTCAGCTCCACCCTCCAGACCTACCACCACGCCGGTGCCATGATGTGCATGTGGGCTGGTATGCGCTACATGTCCGCCCCTATCTGGATGTTTGTCCTAGTCAACTCCTTCATCCATGCCATGATGGTAAGTTTTGCGCCTATTTTGCTCAACTGAAGTGTTGCTAACAGTCGTCTAGTACACCTACTACACCATCACCGCTTTCAACATCCGCGTCCCCATGGCCATCAAGCGAACCCTCACCACTCTCCAGATCACCCAGTTCCTTGTCGGAGCTACCTACGCCATGGCCCACTCCTTCGTTTCGTACACTGTCCCCGTGACTGTCTACACTGCCGAGAAGGGTGCCGATGCTATCACCCAGTCTTCCACCAGCACCGCCGCCGAGACCGTTGCTACTGCCGCAACTGGCGCCTTTGAGGCTCTTAAGGACATGGTCTTCGGCGCCTCTGCTAAGGTCGCTGAGGAGGCTGCCGCTGTCTCCGTCGCCGCCGCCGCCGCTGCTGCCCCCCCTCAGCCCGGTTTTGTTGCTGAGACCATCTTCGTCACCCAGCCCTGCGTTACCACCAGCGGCGAGACCTTTGCCATCTGGCTCAACGTCCTCTACCTGGCACCGCTCACCTACCTGTTCGTCATGTTCTTCATCCGCAGCTACATCCGCCGCAGCACCGCCGCACCCAAGGGTAAGGGCAAGGCCCGCCGTGAGAGCAATGTTACTCTTGCGGAGAAGGCTGGCTGGGACGCCGCCCGCGAGGTCAACCGCGAAATCTACAACGGCTCTGCCTCGTACAACGTCGAGGGCAGCCCCAAGCGCGCTGGTAACGGCAAGGCCAAGCACTAGCGAAAGTTGGCACGCATGGATTAGTCCTGAATTTAGGACGTAATGGGAAAAGGGGAAAGGGGGAAACACGGCTGGAAGAGAAGCCTGAAAGAGGTCTTCTCGTGGAGGCGGCATTGGGTTTGATTCAACGGCGTTTTGAGCTGGGAAAACATGATTGGGGTATAGCATTCGCATCACCCGGAGCGCTCGTTATCTAGTCGTGACCGTCTAGTGTCTTGCATTTTGCGCGTAGGGTAAATAGGGCGAGCCGGGTGTCATCCATCCGGTGCAAGTATGTATAGTCATCATCAATATGAAATTTTACATGTTAAATATTTTCGTGCAGATTGGTTTTTATTGAAGTGGTGACAGGTCGAATTTACGGCCTAGGAAATGTGTTTATCAGGATTTCCATCATTCACATCCGGGGTGTAGAAGCATAGTTGTACAACATTCCCGGAACGGGGAAAAGGGGGAAAGCCACCTCGTGTGACGACGCGGTGGCGGCGAAATTATGGGATACAGACCCGAGCTCTCGGGCCCGATCAGCCGGACCATCTTCTCCGCATTTTCGTCGTCTTCCGGATGCGGTGGGGGCCAAGACCGGAGCTCACTCCGATGTGGTCGGAAGGAGGGGAGAGGAAGGGGGGTGGTGGACGTACCCAAATTAGTATGCCGTGTTCAGTCTCTCCTCTCTCTTTTTTGTTCACCCGCATATCCACCTTGTCGATCTCTTGGCTGTTTGTCTCTGGGTTTTCTGGGGCAAGTTGTCTCTGGTTTCGAGTGAAACCGTACGACCCCGTCGCGCTGCATGAGAGCTGCTTAAATGAGTCGCCAAGTTGAAATGTTTGATGAATTCTCTACGGTACTGATGAATGCGTGTAAATCGAAACGATTGCTGAAGATTGTCAACTAGACCAATGCCACGCGTATTTCTGGTATCCGGGGCGTGTGGGCAAGGTAGTCGTCGTCGGTCTTCCAGAAACGGGTTCGGCCACGATACGAGAGAGTCGAATTCGCCACTGAACCCTGAAGCGAGTTTCTCTCTATCGCTGAATAATAGATTGCATTATTAAATTACCGCGAAGCCTCGTTCTCTACACGCCATGTAGTTCTTGTTTGCCCTTTTTGCGCCCTGACTCAATTCCAAGCGCAGTGCATAGGTAAATGAATATGCTATTTAGTCAACCTCAAGTTATGATCCGGAGTCTGGAAACAGATAAAAAAAGGCTTTACAATACGATGAGGCGCAAAAAGCTCGAAACGTACTCATCTTGTGTGGCAAGATGTATCGAACGCCCTGCTTGTCTGCGGAGAGCTCGTTCATAGGGTACAACGTTTCGTCTTTCGACTCGCGCATAACGCCCGTCCGGAATAGGCACTGCCTTGTATGAATTGGGAAGATAAACCAGGGCAAGAAGGAACCAAGCAAGTCTATCTTGGGGAACTCATGGGATTGTGGATTCGCGGGGGTGGGGATTTCCATTAGCCCTTTGCTGATCGTTTTCGATGTCCGCTGCTTTCGTCCAACCTTGTGCGACTTTACCTCCGTCATGTATTGTATCCCAATCAAGGTCGTGCTGATTTGGAAATAGGTAGTAGTGTTTCTTAACTCATATTCGCGTCCTGCACACATGGGAACATACCTGACTACTTGGAACGATACCTAGCTTTCACTCACTTCGTCATGTTCGCCTGCGATGAGCAGACTCGAAGACAGTAACTCTGGAAGAAGTGAAGTGGCCACGGCATGGGAGGCTCTCAAGGTACTAGCAAACCAAAATCCCATACCTTACTCGAATAATTTCCTTGCCGCCACAAGCCAGGCCAACAACGGCCCTGCAGAGTCATCTACCTAGCAGTGCTGGAGAAAAGGGCGGCGAGATCCAGGTAGACGAATCACAACGACGCTTACGGCGATGAAGCATACAAAGCACATACTCAAATTACCCCAGGTACACGTACTACACATGCATACACCCCCCTTCCTCTCGTTGTTAATCCAAGCTCCTAGGCACCCAGGAGCTAGCCTCTCGCCTAGTTTCTTCTTTCCCCAAGCTCCCTCTCAAGCTAAGTCGAACCGCAGCAGGCGCGGAGGCTACCTTACTATAGGTGTGTGTTTGGCCTCACCTCCTCTTCTTCTTGCTCACCGTGACCGCCTCTCCTAGCTAGATATCTGGGCCTCGCATCTTGCATTTCCTCGCATGCTACTGAAGCTCCCAAGTCGGGCTTAGCCTACCCGGGAACACTCTCTCCACCCAACTCGCAGATACCAATGAATCTCGCGAGGAAGAAGACATCAAAATATCAGCAGCACAGCCATGCGTGGGAAATTTGAAACAAATTAATTGAATGGGACAAGAAAAATGCGATCAGTCCTACAGACAGCAAGAAAAGAGACAACAAGATCACCAGAGGAAACGACCCGTCGAGGTCCGACGTTCGACTCAATGCAGAACGCTAGGCTACCTTCGGCTCAAGAATGATGACCACCCACCACCACCAACGACCGACGACCTGCCTTACACCGCACACGACCTATGCTGACCGATTTTACTCCGCACAGGTCAACGACATCTGACCGTTGGGCGGTGAGTCAAGTATCGAAAGCGGTGTTACGAATGTTCCCGGCTCACAAATAGAGAGACATCATGAATGTTTACTAATTGCAGGCAGCAGCTGCCATAACCTTAGGAAAGGGGTGTATAGAGCGTGACTAAGGGATCCCGTTGTCATGGCCTAAACCGACAGAACGACAATTCATTAGGCCTCTCGGTCAGCATCGTGTGAAGTTGAGACCAGGAAAGACTTTACTCATGTGATAACACCTAGAAACCTGTGGGAGAGTCCTTCTAATTAGTAGACACGGGAACCGTAGAGCTCGCAGGACCTTGATAACACCACTTTTCAACGCTCGTGTCCCATTCAGCAGAGAATATTCAAAAGACCACTCCCACTCCCGATGACAAACACCTCCTGATTCTCATCCTCGTAGGCCATCATATGAGAGAATAGTACTGAGACCAAAACGGTTGAAGGCCTGGTGATTGGTAGTCATTCGACCACCAGTTCAACCAGCCTCTGGGCTTCCAGGAGTAAGCGCACCGGGGTCCACGGTGCTCTCATATCCTGGTAGCTCACTCACCCTTGTTTTTATAGTAGCAATGTTGCCGCACGTCTTCATCATCTGCATCAGCACGCGAGATACCATAGAGCTCCGGCCGCCAAGGTCAAGACAAAACAGACTCAACAGTCACTCCCTCGAACATGAATCACATACATGACTTAAATCACAAGTCACCGATGAGCCAACGCTTACAGTCAATGGGAGAGTTTGTTTGCAATTGTTTGTATTGTTTCTTCCGAGACCTCGGAAGAGTGAGAGGCAAAAGCGGCTGGACTCGGCCGCCAGCGCGAACAAAGTTGGCTGCGCGTCCGCTCCGTCCAGGTTGTTTCCCACCATCCCCCCTCTCTGGATCTCCGAACCATCAACCAATACGGTGACGGCAACTCTAAATACACGCAACGCCGATCCATGAAGGCGTTCGGCCGACTTGCTCCGCCCTCTCGTCTCTTTTCCCCCAATCTCAGGTGTAGGATAGTCATACCCCCGGATGGAGATCCGAGTACGCGGTGCGAAAAGCATGTGGCCGTCACATCAGGGTATAAGCCTTCAGAGGGGTATGCCGCTAAAACTCCGTAGAAACTGGAGTGTTGAAAATTAAGAGCCCGGTTGAATCGCTTTCCCGTAAAAACAACCCTTTTCCATATGCGATTGATATGAGGGGAGTTTGGCAAAGCCAAATCCGAGTCTTTGAGTGTCCGTCCAACGCCACGCTGTAAATGCAAAACAGAGTCCAAGCCAATCCGGCAGGGCTCGAAAACCGATAAGGCGTTCTATTGCGGGTAAAAGTGATAATGGGTGACGCATGGTGCAGTCCATTAATGGGTATTGGTGTGTGAGTCGAAGGGGTGTGTTGGTGACTCTCCATGTCTGGTGTCGTCGGGGCGGCTAGTGAGAATCGCCACCGTCGTGTGAGTAAGTCTATGATTCTATTGTTTCGCTCTTCATTAAGGCCGTGAGTCGTAATCCACTGGGTGCGAGAACACCCTTGTGCTTTCTTTGTCGTCTCCAATGTACAGTGTACATTTAGAATGTGCTCCAGTTCCAGTCGCGAGGAACACTAGCAGCTACCTCGGGGCCCTTGGTAGGGGGAAGCATGCCAGGCATCATCGGGGCAACGGGGCTCGCGACGATGGGGCTCGACGGGGTGCCAGAGGAGTCGGAGCTCTGATCGCTACCGCTGCGGCTGCCGTTACGGCTCTTCCATACCTTAAATTCGGTGAAGCAGTGAAAGCAGGCGCGAGCGAGGACTCCTCTGGGGTTGTAGTTGCAGTCCTCGTCCAGAGGGATGGCTTCGCCAGAGTGGGTGCCGCAAAAGATGTTGCCACAGCGGCGGCAGTGATGGCGACGGTTCAGGGCGTTGAACTTGCGCTTGCAAGTTGGGTCGTCGCACATGATGGACTCGGAGTCGGGCTGTTGGAATTTTGTTAGTTATATACTTCAAGGCAAAAGGGCGAGATTGTTGTGATAGATCCAACATACCTTCCAGTGCTTGCGAGTGGGTTCGCCAGCGACGTCAGGGAAGAGCTCAGGGTCCAGCTCGAGGTCAATAACCTTGCCACTGTCACCGGTAGAGCGGCGCGACAGCTTGGCTCCGAGAACGCTGAAGCCAGGGAGGCTGATGAAGCTGCTGTTGGCGCGGCGCAAGCAGAGCAAATCCTCGCCGTCGAGGTCCTCAACCTTGGGAGCGCGCGGCTTCTTGGAGTGGTGCTGATTTGGGCGGAGGACGGCGGGCACGTAAACGGGGCGAACCGACTCGGTGAGGCACGACTTGGGCGAGGTGGGAGAGCCTTCGTGAGGAGTGCTCAAGGGTGATGTGCGGTTGCGAAAGGGCTGCGGTTGCGGTACTGTTTGGAAGGAGTGGGATCGAGTGTGTGTGAAGTGAGGGCGATCCTGAGGGTAGAAGGAGGGGCCGCGCTGCTCGGCGAGGGTAGGCATTATGAGGTCGGTTGCCATTGTGTCGAAGTCGAGGTGAGGTTGGTTTATAGGAATTGTTGGTGTAAGTGAAGCTCGACGGTGAAGGATGCAGGGCGTCCTAGATGTTCAAGGCGCTCGATTGCTGGAATTCGAAAGGGCGCGTGGTTGATTTCTCGTGAGAATCGATGATGAAAAGCAACGAATAGTTGTTGCGGCGAAGTGGTTGGTGATTAGAAAAAAGGAGCGGGACGAGGTTGTTGGCGTCGCGTTTGTTCGGGAAAGCTTGGTATTAAACCTGGTGTGAACCGCAGATCGAAGCGGTGCCCAAGGGGATAGTAGAGGTATGGGTATAGTTGTGGTTGTGTTGGACGGTGGTTTTCGGTGTAGAGATAAGGATGCGCTGTGCCACCAAACGAGGTCGTACTTTTTGGGTTTGCTTGTGAATGTGAGGTGTAAGTGAGGTGAAGATGACCTGATCGGGAGTGGTGAGTGAGTAGGCAATCGCAGCAAGATAAAGATGCGTGCGTTGCGATGGAGGGGAGCGGATTGGTGAAGTAGTTTGGGCGGGATGCTTGGGGTCTAAATGGATGGGACGAGACTCGGGGGTGCGGAATGAGGGGGGGCGTGAGGATGAGAGGCCCAGTAGCCTTGAGGGCGATTCAGTCGGATGGAGGGGGGTGCGCTGTAGGAGAGTACGTACACTATCTTATGGGCGGTGGGTGGAAAAGGGAAGGGGGGGGGATGCGGGAGCGGGTTCCCTATTAGATTTATTCCTGCGGCAATTGGCGGAGGGAGTTGCCCGCCCTCTTCCTCTCCTCCAGTGCCAGACCATACGCAGTTAGTAGACGACGGTACAGACAGGAAAGAGAGTGAGGAATGAGAAGGGGGGCGTGTCTCTCATCCACCCTCTCACTCTCTGCTTTCTCTCTCTCATTCTCGTCGTCTCTCTCGCTCTCTATCCGTTACCTATCTGCTCTAAGAGACGGATGGTGGGCGTGAGACTTGAAAGCAGTAGTAAACAAGACACACACCCTCTGCCTCTCTCTCTGTATCTTCTCTCGGCATGGCTTTCCTTTCCTCTGTGCATACCGCCGGTACCGTACTCTCTCCTTCAAAGGTGGCCCATCGTCACTTTCTTCTGCCCACAACGCTTTGCCTCGCCGTTTCTCTGGTTTCGCTACCAACTTACATCCACACGTTGCTGAGTTTAAAGTTTTCTTCAACTCCAGCACATACATACAACCTTCAAGCCAAAACAATATCGCGACCAAAGCAGCATACTGTAAACCTATATGGTCACTACAGTCCCCGTGGGAAACCTCAAAAAAGCCGCGGCGAGAGCAGCTCAGGCCACACACCACCACTTGGTTAGTAGTAAGTCAAGGGAGCGCGGTACGACAACCCTGGGACCGCGGAAACGTGAGGCGCAAAGGCGGCGGCCACGATCATCGCAGCGGCGGCGGCGACGGCGGCGACCGCCCTTTCGCGCTGCAAGGAATCCCCGTCCTCACTTCACCCTCTCTCTCACTCTTCAGACTCTCCCCCCTCCCAATTCCGCGCCGTGGTCCACCTCCCCCGGAAGGCCCTTCCAAGAAAAGACCGCTACAAGAGCCAGAGCCACAGCCAAAAAGAGGCCCAGAGCCAAAGTAGGCCAAGCGTCCTCTAGCCTGGAAGCGGTTTAGCCACCGCCCTGGTCCTGTCGCCGGGTGGGCAGCGGTCTTCTACCCGGGTTGTGGTTGGCTGTAGAGAGGTCCCAACCCTTGTCCAACTCAGGACGATACCCCGGGGGCCACCAAGTCCTCGTCTCGTCCCAACTGCCACTGCAGAACGGATAGCCTCCCGTGCCTCTGGCTCTCTGGCTCTGGCTCTGGTCCTGGAAGAATATGTTTCCACAGTGGCTCGAAAGTCGAAACTCCCTCCTCCGAAAGTGCCCTCCAAGCCTCCCGCGGGTTCCTCTCCTTTCCTCCTCTAGCCTCCAATCCTCCCCCTCCTCCTCGAGGCTCGCCCTCTTTCTTCGCTCCATTTTCAGCACGGCCCCCGGCATTGTCTCTGCTGCTCGCTTCATCTTCCGTGCGCTGCTCCGGCTTATTGTTCCCTTCGTCTCGTCTCGTCCGTGACCATCAACCCCCCCCCCCCATGCCCAGTCGAGAAGCAAGGTCCGACGCTGCTTCAGCTTTGCTTACAATCTTCCAGAAGCCAAAAGGACCCTGAAATTGAAGCGGCTATTCTGTACGTAAGGCGAATGCCCCGGCCCACGCCGCTAGCCCGCGCTGCCCACGTCGTTGAATGAAGATCGCTGGGAACCTCCTTGACCAACGGGGCTGCTCGCGTGTCTTCAATTCAGTCTCCTTCTTCTTGCCGCAGTCAAGCCGCCGCTAACGCCCCCGGGATACCGAACCTATCCTTACAAACGGCCTCTGTACCTTCCTCTAAGGTTTAGTTCGTAGGGACTCTTGGCTCTTTTGCAGAGCTTCTACTGTGTAGACGGCCAAGCTCGTGTCATTCGAGATCACGGGCTTCAACTGCCCCAGCTTCCTAAGTAAGTGACCAGGTTACCCAGTTCCAAGGGTTTCGAAGACAGGCAGGCGAGCAGAAAAAAACAAAGAAAATAAAATAAAACACAGGATAGAGAAAAAAGCAATAATGCTTCTGTAGCGCCTGTAGCTCGTAAATTAGCGGTGGGCGAGAAAGCTGTCGGGGTGAACCTTTGAGACACGATGGCCCTCCAAAACCCCACTTGACGTCGCCCTCCCGCCTCGTCACTTTATTGCCTGGCTGGTACGAAGTTACGAACTGCTCCAGTTGTCCAGCCATTTTTGACACTCCGGAGAAAGACCGCAATATCGCCTTGGCTCTCTCAGTCTCTCTCTCTCTCTCTAGACGATGGCCGTTTTTGGCGTCCGCTTGTAAGTGCCGACAGCTAGAGCCTAGGTGACGACGGCGACAACCTACACGAAGGGTGGGCAAGTTAAATTTGCTCAACGTAATAGCTGCTCTTGGGTTGGTCCAAGAAGGTTCATGTTTATTGCCGCTTCACGATGCGGCTCCTCTTCCACGCTGCGGTTGCTGCATCGTCACCGCCGTGGTCCGAAATACACATTGACAGGGGCCGTCGGACAGAGACCGATCTGGACTCTGGTGAGCGCCTTTGTTTTTTTTGCCGGCTGCCGCTCGTATCGCTCTCTCGCTCGCATCGACTAAGGCGGGCTCGTCAACGCATATCGGGATTCGGGGATCCTTCCTCCACTTCTTCCATGGATGGAGCGGCTCGCCGCTTGCCCAGCATGAAGCAGGGGGCAATGAACCGAGAATTCACAGGGGCATGGAGCTCTTGATCTTGTGATTGCTTGTACGTACGCAAAATGTCGAACTGTCATATCTGTTTATGAGTAGGCATAGTGCTGTCCGGAGATGTCCTTGCGGCTGCATTCATTCACTGCGTAGTAATTTGCTTGTGTCCGGTAGCTTTGGTGTAATGAGCAGGTTGATGCTGGTTGTGCTGCTGAGGGTATTCCCATCCTAGGATGCTGTTCCCGACAGGAGTCCTTCTTTGGCGGCGATCTGCCTCCTCCCCTCCCCTCCCCTCCCGATGCGTGGATGCGTGCGCGCATCCATTCATCCGTCCAGGACTCCAGACGTCCATCCTGCAGAATACCTTATGCGTGTGCACCGCGATAGGCGGGACCCAATCGTCCTGTGCGACGTCGGAACGCCTGGTCTGAGTGCCCCTCTTGGTGATGACAGGCAGGTCAGACTTGCTGCATGTTAGTCGGCCGTGACCCAGAAACCAGACCCAGGCCCAGCAACGAGAGTTGCATTTCGACTACTCTCGACTCTTGGAATTGTCTCGAACTCGAACCTGATGCGGCATGCAAACGCTATCCCTGCTGCTTGAGTTGCTTGGTTGTCTAATGAATCAGCTCACGAGGCATGAACTTGGCCTGGGCCATAGGTGCGAGTATTGCTAGACCGCTGCGAAGCGTACCGCCTGGAGTTGCTCTTGTCTTTCTTTTACTGCGTGGCAGATGCGGGGGGAAATTCTGAAGTCTGAACCATAGGGAAAGGCGCCAAAACCCACCGCTCATCTGCTCAATTGCTGCTTTCGGCCATCTAGCCGGGGTCTGTCTGTTTCTCTCGCCCTCTCCACATTGTGGGGATTCATCCTCCATTGGCACTGGTCGACTGGACCAGACGAACGCTGTTCATTTCCAATCGCCGTGACTCGCTACCTCTTCTCCGATCTCCAGCCTCCCCAGTCGAGGCTCGTTGCTTGTTGTTCGCGTGGTTGGCACGGTTGACAGTGTCCGTCATTCAAACAGTGGGTTATAGCTTGTGGGTGAAGGTGGCTGCACTCCAGCCTCCAACACCACTTCTGAAATTACCATGCTTCAGCCTCCGTGATGATGGGTGCACCGTCCACATTGCCGGGCTGAAGGCGATGTGTCGTCTGGCTGTCTTGGGGCTGCAGCAACCACAGCAAGCGTCCTGTCAGTTGCCAACGGGGTTGCTGCAGGGTGTGTGGCACAACGTCGGTGTGCTATTTGCGGAGGTGATCAACCACATGGGAGAGTCTGACAGTCACTCGCGTTTGTGTTGTCGCTGCAATCCGCCGCCAGCTTTGTGGCTCCCGACCGCCGTCCAACGCTTGCAAGGTGACAGGACGGGATGCCGTTGAGACTTGAGTGACAAGCCATGCCAAACTTGTCCGTAAGTCGCAAAGTCGCAAGTAGCTGCATCTTGATGACGAACCCTCGAATGTCCTGCTCAAGCCTCTTGCTCAGATGATGATCTTGACAGGCTCTGCCTTCGAGCGCTGCTTCTTCCGGGGCCACAAATCAATCAATCTCCAACCCAATACGTCAGGTTCGCTATGGTTCGGATTTCCAGTGGCCCATCAGGCCGATCTGGCGTGTCGGCCGAGTGAGAGAGGGACGGGAGTTTGTCTCATTGGCCACCCGTTGTTTCGTGGCCTGAACTCACTCCTCCAACGTTCGCAAAGACTCCGAGATGTACTCCGTCCTCTGGAATAACTCGCAGTGCTGTAAGGGTCCGTGGAGAAGTTGTCTCCAAATCCGAGTCATTCCAACCACTGGATATGACGCAGGCAGTGCAACCTCCGATTCTCGTTGATTTCGGCCAATGTCCATCAATTCCTGGACGAGTAAAACCCAATCCAGCCACAGATGAAAGATCTGCTCCGAAAACTTGACAAGTGAGAGAAATCGACAGAGGTCGACGTCGACACCCCACCGCGCCTCATGTCTGCGAGGAAGCCCCGGAGCTTCAGCAGCGAGATGCCACACTCTAATGGAGATTGAGGGGTCAATGGGCCCAGTATCTGTATCTGGATCCGTGCAGCGTACTCCGTACGGGTACCCAAAGCAACGCGAAGCGAAGCTTTCTTTGAAGCAGAGGCCAGATGGGCAACTGGGCCGAATTGAGAACACTGTGCAGGAAGAGGATCCAGAAACTTCAGCAAGAGAACCGGTCGAGTGGAGCTCTTCCACTCTCAATCCCACGATGCTCTGCTCCAGAACACACCCAGAATCCTGGAGACTGTGGCCGTTACGGAACCGCTTTAGCTTGGCATTTGCAAATAGGTTGCTCTGAGGGCCCGCCCAAGACGGCGCTTCAACGTTTGCGGTCGAATTTCTGTGGTGCTGAGAGATATTACCATCAAAACCACAGGCTGAAGGGCCTGCCGCCTCGCCCGAGCTGTGGATAGGGACGCGGTACTCTGTGCAAGTGTGGCGGGGATCCCAGCAGGCAAAACCGCTGCGCAGCATTGGCAATAGGGGAAGCCAATGCAGCTCCAGCTCCAGCTCCCGCTGGCCACCCCTCTTCCCCTTCTTCTTTGCCACAGCCTCGCGACGCCAGTCTGTTCGTTCGCTGTCGCCGAGCGCTAGGACGCAGGAGACGTGAAGAGTCCCCGGAATCTGGCCGACTCCACAGCCTCTCACTCTCCCGTCCGTCCACTGCACCTCGGCGGTTTTTTGGCTGTTGGCTTCGGGCGTGTTCCTCTTCTGACAGCAACGTCCGGCCGAGGCTCAATGCCGGCACCGACAAACCAACCATGCCTTTGACGGGGAGGCGAAACGCTCCAAGACGGGACCGCGGTTGCATTGTTGACAGAGCGGAGGATATGAGACGCGAACGACAAAGACCAGAATGCGCTCTCTGTCAAACCTGCGCCACTTATTTCCGTGGGACCACGAGGGCGACGACGACGACGCCGCCGCCCAACGGCAGAAAAAGAGAGACACCGACATTTCAGTTGCTGAGTACTTGTTTATCCCTGTAAGATAATAGGGCGACTGAGTCAATCCACTGCCAATTCAGTCCTGTTCGCGGCCGGCAACATCAAGACTCGATAGGCTTGTTACAGGTAATGGTGGATACCCTAACAGCAAAGCAAGCGATAGGCTTGGAATGTTGGGGTAGATATCCGTAGATACAGAGTTAAGAAGGGAAAAGAAGGAATTCTCTATGAGACTTGTCGCTGCCCGGTGGCTGTCCGTTACCCCTTTGCCCGATGGCACGGTCAGTGGCCGGGACGAGATAGTCCAGGATCCCAGGGCAGCCGTTTCGCCGCCATCAGAGATGATCCCTACAGGCGAATGGCTCGCGTGTAAGCGACGTGGTCTTCCCCGGATTGAGGTTCAAATGAGACATGTCGTTGTTAAACGAGCCTCATCTCTCTCCAGAGGGTCCTTTTGAAAAAGCAGGGGGCTTGATCAACCGGAGATATGTCAAGCAGGAAGCTCCAAGGGCATCGTTGGTTTCATCGATAACAGAATCAGGTGAGCCTATCCGAGGGGATGGGACCGGCTATGGGCGTTGTGGATTGTCGGTGAGTTTTGGATTGGAGTCGCATCGGCAGTGATCCTCACGCCCAGGAGGGCGGACAGCCAAGCCGTCGATGGCAGTCGTAAGATGTGAATTCTGAGGCCTTTTCTTTCGTCGGGGGGGGGGGGGGGGCGGTTTCGTAGAGGCAGAGCGAAAGAAAGGCCATGCAAATCTACGAGAGGTCGTTCGAGTCGGGCCACAAAGAGACAAAGTGACAAAGTTGACACGCAGAGAGAGAGTTGAACCGTTTCGCTGGGAGGCTGACTGAGCCTGTGGTGGTTAGACTGTGGTACGTACTGAGTCTTGCAAGGAAGAGGGCAGGAGCGAATCGAGATAACGAACCACTCTTTTGCAAGAAAGAGCACAGACGCGCTTTCCCCAAAATGGCATCCTTGCTGCATGCCATGCTTCGATATCCCTGTCATCATTCAATCGATGCAGGGTCCTCATCGTTCATTGGCTGTGATGTTTGCGCCGTTATCGCCAGTCTCTGATTGGTCGCTTACTCAATTCATGGTGACGCACTCTTGCCTCAGGCAAGATTCACTGGACGTGCAGGGCCACCAAAGGACCTCGGGGCGTGTAGGGAACAAGCTCCGATTCCGGGTCCATCACCTCCTTCACGTTCGCTGCCGAAGCGCGTTCGCGGGCTGGCAAACGCCTGGCGGGCGAATGGGCAGCTGGCGCATGCAGGGCGTTCGACATGTGACGTCGACTCTGCCGGCATCCCTCGTCGGCGCAGTCGGTGACGGCTCGCTCACCGCCTAGTGACATTCTAACACGCTACAGCGAATCGTACAGAGAGACGCAGCAACAGCTGGCGCATTTCGCTGTTATCACCGTACCGCTTTGCTTTTTTCCAGGCCACCCTATCCCGGCCGGGGGTTCGATGCCGCCCAAATGAGTGTTTGAAGGTTGCTATCTATTGCTTTCCGGCATGGCGGAGGTTCATCCGTCAATTATCTGAACCTCCAACCCGGTTCCCCGAATAGGGCAATTGAGAGACAGGAGAGAGTGAGATTGCTGGACAACGAACGGGACGACAGTAACCTGACTGATCCAAAATAACACACCCCCCTCAATCCGATACCTCAATCCGACACCGATGCCATCGACGACAACCACCACCACCAAAGCCAAGAGAAAGTCAACGACCGTTCCATGTCAAGATGCGTCGTGATGGTGTTGCCGCCGCCCGCCGGCGTCGATCCGTGCAACAACCCTTCCCTTCGCCTAAACTGCGCCGCCCGGTCGATCTGCTGCCCCAACCATTCTTCCCCCAGACTCTGATGTAAGGGCGAGAGGTCTTACGCTCCCAAACACTTCCCAACTTTCGCGACGTTCAAGGGGGATTTTCATGATCGTCCGCGCGGGAAGGGAAGGAATGTGCGTAAGACGGAAGCGCCAGCTCCATGCTAGGCTACGTAGCAAATTGTTTCCCCGCGGAAGCACACTCACCACCACCCCCGAAATTCCAATGGGAACTGAGACTCAACCCTCCAAAAGGCTGTCCGACATGAACCCTGCCACCGGCAAGATGCCCGGCTGGCCCGCGCTATCGTACCCGACGCCGGTCGCACCGGCCGAGAAGTTAGATAGAGCCTCGCCCCCTTTTCCATCTTGAACATCTCTTCTTCTTTCTATCAGGCCCTACCTTCCTTCCGGGCCCCGGGCCCCGGGGGAGGGAGGGTGCGCAAATCCTCGAGAAGAAAACGCCAAATGACGTACCGGAGGGTTGCTCTTCTTCCGCTCTAGGAAGGCTGACACGGGATCGCTTTGGGGTAAATCGAGATTCCGACACAATGGCCCAGTATGGTTCCCACGCCCTCCCCATCACTTCTTTGACTCCAAAGAGACTCCAAATCTTTCCAGGCTTTTCAGCCTATCTAACTGACTCAACATGCTGGACAGTTGACGACGAGAAAGAAATAAGGGGAACAAGGAAGCAAAATCCAGCGATTGTCGCTTCCTGTAGTGGTGCTTTGGCTTTCGCAAACATGACGTCGGTGCTAAACACCAAACCCCAGGCGCGGTCCTTGATGATCAGGATAACCCCCGTACGGAAATCATTGCCAAGGATCGCCCAAGCTTAGATATCGATGCCCCGAGGAGAAGCAGTACATACGTAAGTATGCCATGCATCTTGGAAAGAACTGACGCACAGAAGGTGTTTTGGCCCTTTTGATTGTCACTCTCAAGCTTTGTCCAGGCCGTTATCAGAAAATGTGAGAGTAAAGAGAGAGAGCCCTGACAAGCCGACGCTCGACAGCGTTCCTGATTGGTTCTGCATCCTCAAAGCATTGTTTCCCGATTGCCTGAGCGCGAAAAAGTGACAGGTAGGATTCTCTCATGGGAATTGACCAAACCTTGATAACGGAAGTTCCGTCCGCTGCTGCGCTGCATAGAATTAAGGTTCATCTAATGGCCTCGTGTTTCTCCATGTGTGGTGTGCACGGCCGGAATTAGTCTAGAATGTCTGACCCTGAAATGAGCAAGTCCACCCAAAATGCTAATTGCTTAGACTGCCAGGAGTTCTGTAGAATCATACCCATGGAAACTGCGAGTTTATCTTGTTGCACCCTCAAGTTTGATCTCCTGCACCAAAGCAACCCATATGGCTACCGAATCAGCCCAAGACAAATCGCAAGGTTTTGAAATCTAGACGTGACGCAAGCAATAGTCCTGCTTGTTGATCAAGACGAACTTTCGTCTGTCAACTCAGACAACAAGATCAGGGTTGGGCTCCACGGTGAACGTCTCATGTACACGCCTTGCAATATAGAAAGCTACCTTCCAATATATGTCCATTGTCTCTAGACGGTGGTTACTACTTACTTATTCTACTGTGATTACTCATGAGGAGACGGATGAGGTCTAATGACTGAACACGGCGATGGTGATATACGAGCCCGCAATGAATCTAAAAAGAACAATGTTCAAAGCGAAGCTGTTATGTTCACTATTTATAACCAAACCAATTGCAGCCTGGTTAAAACAGCTCACTTCTGGTTGGAAGGCACCGCGTACCACCAAGCACAGTGTCTTTATATACCTCCATTGAAGAAGTCTCGGCACGCAAGCGCGCAAGTGCCTCTGCTCGTCCACTTTGCGAAGACGACTGTTCCGTTCGCTTCCTATATTAGCGGAGGTCTTCAGCTGGCCTCAAGGAGCATTGAGAGACAGTGAAGTCAGCATCTTTAGCATATAGACTGAGAAACGAGGGGGATATATTGATAAAGGAGTAGATAAAATCAGTCAGCTCTTGTCCGGCATTGTGAAGACTTAGTGCTCCTGAGGGTTGTGTTAATGGAAGAGGGGTAATCGTCATTGCAGCATCTACAAGGGAATCGCATCATGCAATGCTGTGTGTCGAGACTATAGCAAAGCTCAGTTATCGTGGCACAACGCTTCGGTCTGCTGAAGCGTTGAAATACATTGACCAAAGGCGAGTGAAGTCGGGATCACCTTCAGTGACTATCTCTGGGCATGGAAGAAGGCAAAAAAAGTGCTATACAAGTCTCATTCGAAATTGGTATAAGGCTCGGCGGACATTTTGCTGACTTACATTGATACGAGAATCTGCTACTTGTCTAAAGGGAAAGGGCATAAGTTCCGGTTGACTGGTTTTATCCAGTTACTCTTGAAGGATGTATTAGTTAGAATTTGATCAAGTATAAGGTGGACATCTAATATCAGATACTGCTGTTCGACATCTTTCCAGGATATCAATTCTCGCTGCAAGAAACTCGATCAATCTAAATTTGACTTCTCCTCATCAACCCCTCATCATCACCCTTTTCTATGTCAAGCTGAATGTTTTAACTAATAACATCTATTACTCCCCCGTTGTGCCGCTACTATTCCACAACTCCCTAAACATGCCCCCTTCCTGATCCTTCAACACTCGCGGTACCCCTTTCTCAACAACACTGCCTTTATCCATGACCACGACCGCATCACAGTCCAAAACCATATCCAGGTGATGAGACACCATGATAATCGTATAACCCCCAAACTCCCTGCGAATAATATTCTGCATAACAAGGTCCGTAGCCCGATCAACACTAGAAGAAACCTCATCAAGCAATAGTATACCCCCTTCGGTACCGCCACGGCTCTTCACCCGCCTCCGTAAGACCGCCCGAGCCAGACAGAACAGCTGCTTCTGCCCCTGGCTGAAAGACTCCGCGGTGAGTCCGGCACCTATCCCGCCTCGCTCCTGTATCCCCACGAGTAATCCCACTTGCTCTAAGACCTCGAGACACTCAGCCTCGGTTGCCGCATCAAACGGGTCGAGGTTGTCTTTCACTGATGAGCCGTCGGGGAGGAAGATTGCGTCCTGTGAGACGGCTATGATGCGGCGCCGCAAAGTATCTCGATCGACTCTGTCGAGAGGCACGGAGTCCATCACAATGCTACCCGCACTCCCAGGTAGAGTCTCGATGAGACGAAGCAGCAAGAGGATGAGCGATGATTTGCCGCTGCCTGTTCTTCCGCATATAGCTACCCTCTCGCCGGGTCTGATTGAGAGGTCCAGATCTCGGATGGCAAGATCCGCAGGCGGCTTCTCCTCGCCCGCTGAGTTGGGCTGATCCCTGGAGACTCCGTAAGACGCTGAAACTCCTTTGATCTCGATTGCTCCCTTCTCAGGCCAGCTTTCCTTGGGAATGACATCTTCGTCGGGCCCAGTCTCTGGAGTCACCGTGTCGCTAAACGTCTTTAGGCGCGCCACTGCTCCTATACTTGTTTCTAGCATGGTGTACGACTGAACGATTGTAGTCAGAGTATCACCGAAAGACATGAGAGTTACTAGTGATGCACCGGTGAATCCAGAGCTGGCGCGCAGTTGCGTCGCCAACGTCACTACGATGGTCGCAAGGGCAGCCACGAGTAACTTGAGTGCTAGCTGTAGCCAACGCTGGATGATTGCGAGCTGATATGCTGGCCTCTGGCTGGTGTCAAGAAGGTCGTTGTTGACTGTGATATCTGCAGAGATGAAACCCAGAGCTCTCAACGTCGCTAAACCCTTGAGAGTATCGATAAAATGAGAGCTGTGAACAATATGGGTCAGTGCAGTCCTGAATGAGTTTAGATAGCAGTCACCAGCAGACTCACTAGAGAGGACTCTTTGCTTCAAGCTCCAGAACACGTAGCTGCCTCGAAGTCCGAAGGTAAAACATCTGCACAAAGTACAGAATCGCCACAAGACAGGGGTAACTAATCGCCAACCACGGCGACGAGACGGCAATAACGACAGACATACCCACAGCAGCAAACAGCAGCACGGAGAAGTTGATCAGTGCCATCGGCAGCTCGCTATCAATCAGAGCGAGATCCTGAGCAAACAAGTTCGTCACTGTCCCCGTGTCAGTCGTCGCAAAGAACCTCAATGGCGCGCCGACGAGCGTCCGCAGGGCTCGCTGGTGCAAACTCGATCCGGACTGTGAGATCATGGTCTGCGTATTGATGAAGACGACCACCATCAGGGAACCGAGACACATGATTTGTAAAAGAGCGTAGATGCCCATGTAGAACGCGCCTGAGCGCTTCGGGATCTCGGCGGTGATGTCCTCGGACCAGAACTTCAGCCAGACGGTGGGGAAGTTCATGCAAAAGGCGTAGGCGCAGCACCAGAAGATGAAGACGGCAATGACCCATGTGGCCATGCTTCCAAAGTAGTGCCTGTATACTGCAACATCGCCCAGCTGGCGTGCCTTATCCGGTTCGTCCGCCACGTCGGAGACTTCAGTGATTATTTGAGCCAAGGGGATCTTCTCAGGCTGGCTTGACACTTCATTCTTTCCTTGAGGAGAGGTCTCGGTCTCTTGGATCTTCAGACTTTGAACGTATTTCCCGTTGGTCTGCAAGTCTGCAAAGGATCCCTGCTCGACTACAGTACAGTCGGCACCGAGTGCGATGATATGGTCTGCAAGTGGTAGATGACGCACAGAGTGTGTGCATAATACGGCCGTGGTGCGCCTCTGGCGAACGATGCCTTGGTTGCCAAAGACCCGATTGAAGACGTGCTCTTCGGTGGTCGCGTCGAGGCCGCTCATGATGTCGTCCAGTATAAGTAGGTCACATTCGAGGTACAGGGCGCGAGCGAGAGCGACTCGTTGTCTCTGCCCACCACTCAAGGTGAGCCCGTTGCTGCCGATTTTAGTTCGATCGCCTTTGGGTAGTGTTGAAAAGTCGGCAGATAGCATCGTGGCATCGATTACTTGGCGGTATCGTTCAGGATCCAGTTCCGAGTGCCCAATGATATTGGCCTTGATTGTGGTATTATAGAGGAACGGAGATTGATCGCAGTAGCCTACCCTGCGATAGTTGACACTGAAGATCGCTTCGCCAGAATAATGTGGGATCTCGCCGAGAAGGCCTTTCAGAAGTGTCGACTTGCCAGAAGCCACAGGTCCTACGATGATGGTCAGGGAGTTGGCAGGGACGAATACGTCAACGTCGTCCAGAACGTACTTTCCCTCAGTCCATCCAAACGAAGCTTGCTTCACTGCGATTGAGGAAGAATGTAATTCAGTGGGCTTCGTATCACTTCCCAAACTTGACAAACGCAGGGCGTCGGGCGTTTTGCGATAATCTATACGGCTGTCTTTGTCTAGGTACGCCTGGATACGACCCAGGCAGGCGAACGCCGAAACCAGTTGCGGAATGGTCTGGAACAGGCTGCCTAACGGACCAGCCAAGAGCATGAGGTACGCCATAGAAGTGAAGATACGCGTGACGTTGAGGGTCTGAGAAGTCACGGCGAAAGCCATGACGGGGCCGAGCTGAGAGGGCGTGTATGCAATCGTCACGGCCGCGAGAAGCATCAGTCGCCATTTCCCACCCACGCTAATTTCCTTGAGGCGTAAGCTGTGTATCAGGGTTTCAATCGGCCCCGACATGGCCGAGATCTTGAGTGCCTTCATGCTCGAGATAGCTTTGGCGGTTACACCGACTCGCTGCTGAATTGACTCCATCCACAACGTTTGACGTTTTCCTGTGAATTTGGCGGTCACCGTGGAGGCTGCCGTGCAGACGATGACTACAACGACAGGTGCAACAAAGGCAGCACCTATTTGCCGTTGCAGCAACCAACACGCCAACGCAACCTCGATCGTGTTGGCCCAGTATTCGTGGATCGGCTGAAAGCCATTCTTGACGCGCTCCACGTCGGCGTTCATGAGAGTCAAGGCCGCGGAATCGTCTGCGGCGGACAAACTGATGACGGTTGTTTTGCGGTAGACGGCTGAGGCCAAGATGCCTCTTGCCATATGGACGAAGCGCTCTTGGAAGTACCAGTAAATGGAACTGGATGTAGCCATGCCAATGTATGTGAGAAAGGCAGCACCGATATACCCGTACCCCTTATTCGGTGACGAGGCACCCACAGGCTCCTGGAGATAGTTCAACAAGCTCTCAATCATGAGAGGTTGGCAGAATTTGAAGCCCATTTGACAAAGCCGTGGGATGATGGGCAGTATGAATGGTCCTACAAGCGTCTGTGCAATGCCCCTGAATAGAGCATGCTTGTGGCCCTGCGTTTTATTCTTCTCTAGAAGAGGCCCGAATTTGGCGTACAGGACCTCGGCTGACATTGCTTCATCGAGCGCATACAAGTCGTCGAGGACAAGGAGCTTGCGGAATCCCCTGAGAAAGAGGTCATTGACCCAAAAGTAGGTCGACAGACTGATGATACCGCTCGTCGCCTCTGGACTTTGCTGCTTTTCGGAGGCTATTGCTTGCCTTTTCGTCCGAGATTCGATGACGAGTACGACGACTTTCAGAATGACACTAGCGATCGACAACCGAGCTTGATGGAAATCGTTGGCAGAGTCTGCCGACAGCCATTCAGTTCTCGTGCGAGCAATATCAAATAAGACAGTGATCAGGAGGTATACACCGAGCAGCATCGACGGCCGCGGTGAGCGGGCATGCTCCAAGAATGAGAGAAGGATCATGACTAAGGATGCAATGAAATTCATCGTATCGGATGCGAGCCCCAGCCGGGACGACCAGTACGTGCCACGACTTGTCAGAATGAGATGGCCAAGTTGCAGGCCACTGTAGGTCACAAGAGCAGACTGATAAAGTATTAGGTATAGTGTAGTTATAGGTAGTGTCTTCGCTTACGATCTTAAGGCATAGCAGAATAGTCTCGTCAATTATCTTTTGTTTTTGAAGCAATTGTAACAGTCGCGGCAAAGAACACAGGATCAACACGGCTGCCGGAGTAATTGCCAAGGCAGCTTGCTCGAATCCGACAGTGAAGTCAAAATCATCACGGCATCCGTGGACGACTGGACCCCGTGACCCGTCGTTGACACATGAGGAACTCATCGAGAGGCTGAAAATGCTGGCGTTGGGTAAAGATCGCCGAAAGCGCAACGGCGCACAGTTGAGACGCGTCGCATAAATCGAAAGGATTCGACAGAATTTTGAAGAAATGTACCTCGGTATTAAGAATAGGTCCCTTTATCAACAAGTTGCCCCCTGTGCGGCGTATCATCACCCCGAGCAAGTAAGCATCATCTGCTTGGCTGAATTTCCGGCTGTATCGCTCGACATTTCGGTTCTCCACACGGAACTGTGCCCCTTGGGCCAAAATGAACAAAAAAAGTCAACCTTCTTAAAACAACAAAACACACATAAGAACATTGCTTCACTCCTCGCCTTAGCAAGGGCAAGGGAAAATACAGAAATTGCAAGGAATAGGGCAGGGGATGATAAAGCAGAAGCGTCCGGGACAAGGTCCGCGACCATCATCACCGCCGCGAAGGCCCATCTCCATCTGCTCTGTTTGAGGCTGTGGGCGCTGAGGATCTTTTGCGCGGCGAGGCTGATTAGTGAGAGGTTCAAACGTTCACGGCTATTCGACGGAAGAGGACTCTGTGCTCACCCATGGGTTGGTAAGGGGCCGGCTGTTGGGCGTCGCTCAATGTGGAAGGAGAATCTGCACGCCCAGATGGGGCAACTTGGCTAGATTGGTCCATTGTGTTGTTGGAAGTGTTGTTGGAAGTTGGTGGAGCTTTCGTTGACAATTGCGCAAGATGAGTACACTTTTTTTGGTCGCGAAAGAGAGAGATGTTAATGTCTCCCGAAGATGAGAAATATGGCCTGGGGTCGAAGATGTTGCTAGGATGAGAAAGGTAAATGGCCATGACGCAGCCGCCTCAGAAAGAGATGGGATGACAGCAATCCAAAGGGTGGCTGTGCAGGCGTCACGTGCAGAGCCGATCAGGTGATCCTTATTAAACTACGAATGCTGTCAAAAGCTCTAATCACGCGCCTGCCTTCCAGAAATTTGATCAAAAGCGAGCTATATGGACTTGGAAATGCGAGGTGAAAGACAATATCCATGATGGTTGAGTTCTCCTGCCGTTTGGTGGCTGCGCATTGCTTCTGGAGTAAATTCCATATCGGACGAATGAGGCGGCAGACGCCTCGGAGGTCCGACCCGCCGGTCGGATCCCAGTTCCGGAGCCGAGACCCATTCTCTTGCTCCGTGCCCGGTCCGGTCATCTGCTTGTAGCCGCATTGTCTGCGCTCAGCCAGTGTGTTGCTCCTCATCCTACCTTACCTTGACAAAATGGCTTTGGAAATTAAAAAAACGCAAATTTGAGGGTGATTTCTTTTTCCTTTTTTTTTTTTTGGGGGGGGGGGGGGATTACGGTCATAAGATACAACTCGATGCGTTTGCTTCAACTCATTGCAAAGAAAGTCGCCTGCCTTGTAGTATCCCCGGCACAGTAGGGTGATAAGTGAAGATAGGCCACCCCGACTCTATGGCGACATAGATCGCACATGTAAACGCCGGGTAAGAGATGATACACCAAGATGAAGTGGAGGCGGGATCGACATATATACTGTACGTAGGTGCTCATTCGCGCATACAGTACTCAACCCCGGACCCGTTTCATTCCAATCCCGTCGGACAGTTTCAAAAATAAGCCTCTGGTTGCATTGGCTCTCGGGGCGATCGCTGACTCGCCATGCAACTGTACAGAAATACCTACAACTGCGGAGCGACCGACACAACAACCGGGCAAGGATACAACCCCCTTTTTACTATTTTGACAACTCCCAAGAGTTGCTGAACCATTCAACTCATTCGCATGTGGGGGCCACCCGCGCGAACAACTCACCATCGTCAAACCACTAGCCATCGTGGGGGTTTGGCGACTTTATTTTAGTAGGGCGCCCTCGCCCTTCTAAATAAAGGCAATGTATGAGACGCGGACAGCGTCCCGCACCACGGTCGACAGAGAGCCAAGAGAAGGACAAGAAATAATTGAAACGTTCATCGCCAAGACCAGCGCGAGACGGCAGCCACAAGCTTTTCTTGCCCTCCTACTCTTTTACCGCTTCATAGCAGATCCCAATCGGCTGCTAACTAAGCCAACCTCACTGTGATTGTCGCTGGCATCCTTTCTACCTCCCTTGGAACCGATAATACTCCAAACCTGCCAAGGTGCAGCCAAGGTTTTCGGGCCACCAGCCGATTGCACCGCCAGACGTCTGTGGCCGAGCCTCAATTAGCAGACCTCCAAAATAGACATGATACTCCTGGCTATTGTCAAAACTGTAAAAAACAGGAAGTGAAAAGAGGAGACGAATGCAAAAGGGCTCCTTGTGAATGAAGTATATAATCGAGACGAACGAACGCACAGTCTCGGTCTCATCTCTCACTAGCTCATCATCATCATCACACAACAGTCTTCAGCTTCAACTTCATCCGATTCGAACGCTTCGAACTCATCTAATCTTCCCCGCAACTGCCAAACGCCAGACTACCAAACCCACATTCAAACTAGAAACTATGCGTGGCATCTTCTTCACCGTCTTCACCCTCGTGGCCGCCGTCGCCGCGCAGGCACCGTACACCGGACCTTGCTCTGATACCGCCTGTGGCGTGGAGAGCGAGAACTGCGATGTCCAAGGCCGCCAGTGCTTCCCATTTCCCAACATTGCTCCAGCGCTCCGTGAGGGCTGCGTCTGCGGTTCTGGTTAAACCGACATACACCAGACTTGGAATTTCATAGGCGTGAGTACGGACCACTCCCCCGTGATGTGTCAACCATCATCTCATACTCAATATAGGTTTTGGGATCAGACTCGGCGAAAATCAAAGCGGCAAGGCGCGCATAAAAGGGCCATCGGAACCTCAATTGGAAAGGCTCCGTAGAACACGGCATAGGAACATGGCACATAAGCGACTACTTTGGCGCCAAGGACATCGAGGACACCAGCATTGTTACTTCCATAGCTAGATTTTGGCTCTTGATTACAGCGAATTCATTGCATTTGAAATTCCAAGTGTCCACTGAATACGAAGAAATATTGTTCTCCGCTTGGGTTCGTGACTTGGTCTGGCTCTACAGATAGTATCCTTGCAACTCCGATCCTAAATCTTCCAAGAAAAGAGCTTGCACCCATCATCAACCTCATAACGTAGGACTTGCTCAGGTGATGGGCTACTGCGAACAGCGTCGACAGACAAGATTTGCGCGATTCGTTCGCGGACTGATTCCGTTAGCTGTTTGAGTCAGTTCATGCCCGAGAGAAGAGCTCGGCGTTGCTTAACGGACATTGTACCGAGCGAAACTGCCCAGCCTGGGGCCGCGCGAAGCCATACTCTTAGGAAGCTTGTGTCGCGGGTTTCTCAGAAGGATGAACCTGGCTGAGATCTTGACTGCAAATGCGGAGAAGACCGTTGGAGAATTCAGGAGACGATGACACAGCCAAGTTAACTTTGCCATTTCCATGGCTCTTACTTTGGTATTTAATTATGCCATCGTCCGAGGATAACCTATTCTTCACAGTCTTTATTGGAGATGCCGACTTACTCGGTCGTAACACATTATTCTACGCATCCGACTGATAGCAGTACCCGTCGTTTCCGAGCGTTTGGATACGGCTGGTTCCATAAGCAAGATGGTTAGACTGAACGAAATGCAGATATACGTTGGGGAGCCAAGGCCCTAAGATCTTGTTCGTCCTGTCCCTCTCTTCGAAGATGGGACCGTTGAAGTCTCAACGTCTGACCGAGATTCCTTGACCTTGCTCGAGTCTGCTTCAGCGGTATCCCACTCTCTTCGGACTACATCCTTCACACATAGTCTCCGAGGCTTAAAGCCGAACTTGAAATCAGAGGGTTCCGTCATGTAGCCGATTGCGTTCATAGCCATCTTGTCGACCTCCTCCAACGGTACTCTCTCAAAGGCCTCTGACAGGCTATCGAAGGCCATAAAGGTGTTATAAAGAGACACTTGCTTGCCAGGCAGTTTCGTGTACCTTAGCCTAGCACAGGTAGGGGCAGGTCAGTACATAAGCTACCATTCAAGTTCAGCCATCTTTCAGGGATAAAAGCTCCCAAGTTTCCAAATTCATCATGAAACACCTTCTTATCCCAATCAATAGCCCAAGAATTCACGAACAGTGTCGCTCCCTTGACGATGCGCTTGCCACAAATCTTATCCTTCATCACGGTTCTCCGTGGGATACTTCCCGGCGAAACAATTCGCCAGCGCATGACCTTCGATACCACGGCATCAATGTAAGCCAACTTCGTCCGGTCCGCAAAGCGCGGCTGCCGCTTTCTGCCAACCAAGTTATCTGGGATAACTTGCGATCGCGCGCGAAATTCAAGTTCGTGTACATTGCGACGAGAAGCCAGAGAAGCTGCCTCAGGCCAGTCTTCATACTGCCTTGGACGCTTGTTGCGAGGGTGAAGGCCAGATCTATCTCCGACAACGGGGCCTCTCTCGGTGTCCTTGGCGATATCTGCTCGTGCTTACCTCGCACACTATATAAGAAAATTCCCATCCAAGAACAAGCACATACGACCACACCCATCGGAGAATTCGGGATCCCGTCCGCTCTCCCATAGACAAGCCGATGAGGGCCAGATTAGTAGTTGAGTCGGTGACGATCAGCGAATACCTGGTGTTGTATGTGTTTTGACGTTCCTTTTGTTTAGTGGTGGGTCACGATGTTGCTTGGATAGCAATAGTAATTACCTACCTAGTAAAGCTGACTGGTTGACTGGCTGAAACTTTTACGCGGCAACATATTCAAGACTCGGAGTTAGCATTCGTTAATGAATTCTCGAATGGGCACCATGTTCGTGCATTGAGTGAGTCGTGACTTTCGCTGCTACGCTCCAGTGATCATACCCATGCTCACAGAGCTCGGCCCGTGACCGTACTACGCACTGCGTTTCTCACGGAGCTCATTTCTTGCTTCGGCGGTATTGAGAATAACAGCGGTAAGGATCTCAAAGAGTCTTGTCGTCGTGACTGGTCCATTGCGTCAACTCATTCAACCCAGTTCAAGAGCGGTCTCTCTTAAGGTGAGCGATGAAGGTCGCCAATGATAGGTAGCTTGGGAGGCTTTGAGATCGCCTCATTTATGTTGGCTTTTCTCGACACCAGGAAGAAGACCGTCAACAGTTCAACTGCCTCCAGCTTGGTTGACTGAGTTGCTAGCCATATCGTTGTCCAGACGAATCACGGGTGAGTGTTGGGCCTGGGCATGTAGAGATGGCAACAGGACGAAACACGGATGGTGCAGACAACTTGGTTACTAATAGTGATCGCACCATTACCTACCCAGAATATGCGTTTGAGCGGAGTCGTCAAGAAAATCGCTCCGGGGCATTTTCGGCCATCGGATCAAGGCATGATGACCTTTAGAATCTCACCTGTTGTGCCCAGTCACTTCCTTACAGCATGGTAACGCACGAACATTTCATATGTATCCGTACCTTCTTGACCAGAAGATAGCCATCCGGAAGAATTCACACTAGCCGAGCCCGCTGCGTCACAGATTGTATGACTGGCTAGCTGGTTCGGATGAACTGCCAGGATCTACCATAAGCTCCGCTCCGGAGGCAACACCGGGCGGGGCCGGACCGTTCGAACTAGCGGCCCATTTTGACCGGCTGGGCGGGAGCGGAGCCCCTAAGAGCTAGCATGATAACCTCATAGGGCAAGATAGTGCTGATAGACACCGCGACATCGCGGGCAAGGTGAGAGGCTTGAAGCCAAATGACGTATATGCATTTCTAGACAAAGGCTAAACAACCCCGTTGTCCGGCTAGGTCAGCCATGGGGCTCAACGTCTGATACTCCATCAAAACCCGTCTTGAGCAAGGATACTCAGGCCTCCGCCTCCGGTTTCTGCGCATAGACAACGAAGCTGTTTTCATTGTTGTTAGCCAAACGCTTCGTGGTCGTCCAAACTCAAGGGAAGTATGGAGGGAATGGCAAACTCACTACTCCATGTAGGGATGGAAGGTTCTAGACTTCAGCTCGCGACGGACGTCTGCAAGAAGTACTATAACCTCCTCCTTGGTCCATCCAAGTACACCGGTGAACAGTCTCAAAGTGAACGCTTCAAGGCCGTCCAAGATCTGCATCAGGTTGATCATGCCCAGTTCCTTGTAGTAGGGGTCTTTCGGCCAGTCCCCAACAGGAATCTTGAACTTCTGGTGGGTGATATTGACGTAGTCCCCAGTCTCCCTGACCCAGTCCTCCAACTTAGGTCCCGGATTGGCTTCGCGGTTGATGCGTTTGCACGCATCAAAGAACAACTCCGACCACTTGCTAGTCTGGTGCTGTTCGGTATAACTACCGTCATCTGAAGTGTATCGCAGGTTGAAGTCCTGGAACTCAACCCAGCCGCCGGGGTTTACGTTCCTAAGTTGAGAACGTTAGTGAGAAGGGTGACAGGTGAGCTCCTTGGCCTTAAATACTCACTCATATATCCTCTCCATCAACTTCGGCCAGTCTGCAAGTGACGCAGCCATATCTCTGCAAAATATGAAGTCATACTTCTTAGAGTTTACCCAGGGACTTTCAACATCATCGATCTCGAACTTCACATTCGGTGGGACCCTACGTGGCCCTGGTTAACACTAATGATACTGCACAAATTTGTCAGGGTAATACCTACCAAGTTGGCTGAATAGCGCTGAGATCATTTCCCACCACCTATTACGTTGCGTTAGTTTCAGCTAACATCCCAAAGACAACTCGTGTCGAGGTCTTATTATACGATGCTTACTTCGGCGTTTGGAAACTCCTCACCCATGAGCATTGCCCCTAGAAGCTGTTAATCACTGTAAATTTAAACGACTCATGTGCAGCTTACAGATTCCAGTTCCAGTACCGATGTCAAGAATCCTGTGGATCTTGTCTTCCTCAATCGGGGCCATAAAAAGCTTCTCTCCGGTGGCCTTGACCATCATCATATGCAAGAAGTCCAAGCGGTCAGCCTCAGTCTTTAGGTTGAAAGTATTAGCTAGTGAAGTTCTCCTCGATTGGGATCTTGAAATCGTCATACCTCATCATTAGGACCCCAGTACGCTACTTCTCATTAGTCAACTATTCAGCATAGGCACCACACAAATGATACTCACATCCAGATCTGAAAGCGTGGTAGCGACGACCGTGCTCTGTAGGGTAATCAACCACGCTTGAAGTTATTGATGCTGTATACGACGACCTGATTCTCTGCTTAGCCTCAACTTGGATGATCTCAGGCACAGCTACTCACCACCGGTCATCAATAGTAGACGCGCCGTCAGATCCCTGGTGATTCGATTAGGGCGAATTTTGTGCAAGTCTGGGGTTTAGAAAACATACAATGCCCTCATCGTCAACCTCAATTTGGCCTGTTGCATCCTCGTGTTCACTTTGTGTTGAGCCAGGTCCTGTAGGAGAAGCAGTCTTGGACCTCAAAGGCGACGCAGTCTTTGACCTGGCGGGAGAGCCATTTTTCGCGCGACCAGGGGAGCCGGACGCCGGTGGGCTGTTTGGTGTTCCAGTCATGTCGAATGGCGGCCAGGGTTTCTGGGGTTCTGTCTCAAAACTTGTGCCAAGAGGCTCAACCTTTGAAGGAATAGAGAAGTTCAGGGAACATTAATGTAGGAGAGGGAGTGGTCAATGGGAAGGATGCGTCAGACAGCCAGTATGGAGAATTTGTACTCAATTAGCTACTCCTCTCTACGGGCTCCCACAGCTTGTGAACCCCGTTGTTGGTGCAGGGCACTCAGATGTGCATACATAATGCATACAAACGTTCCATTTCGTCAAGTCAACGTAGCAAACTTCTATATCCCCGGGGTGAGAGACTAATCAGCAGCTTTCTAGCAATACGGTAGCGGGGCATGTCAGGTTGTCGCATCTCACATTCGCGGAATCGAGACCAATGAGAAGTATTCGCTCCAGTCTCCCTGGTCGTGGTGTGGATATTACAAGGAAAGCGAACAAGCCACATCATGCATGAATCAGCTGAGAGAACATTTCTTTCGTCCCCTCGTTGCTAAGAGCTCCAAATGGAAGGTGAAGAGACAACAATCCCGAGCCTCCGGGCAGGAGCAGACATAATATGTATGCTTCAAATTTTGGCGGATTACTCGGATGGACACTTCATTTAGAATGAGATGCTTCTCGATAACACCACCATGCTTTCTTCCTATTCACTGCGGCTAATCTAAGCTTCCTCTTCTGGTTTCTGAGCATAAACAACGTGACTGGGAGGTACGACTGTTAGCTGAATTGAGGACGAGAAATGAGAGGAGAAAACTCACAACTCCATGCGGGCATGGAAGGCGCCTGTCTTCAACTCATTTCGACAAGCTGCTAGCATCACCATGACCTCCTCCTTCGTCCAGCCAAGTACGCCAGTAAGTAGCCGCAAATTGAAGGCTTCCAAACCATCCAAAATCTGGATGAGGTTGCAAAGACCGAGATCCTTATAATGGGGATCCTTGGGCCAAGTACCAATTGGCAGTTTATACGTCTCATGGGTGATATTGGTGAAGCCGGCCTCCGTGACCCAGTCCTTGAATAAGGGGCCCGGACAGGGCTCACGGCCAATCTGCCTGCAGGTGCTGATGAATGTCTTATTCATCTTCAGACTTTCGTGCTCATCGGTGATGGAGCCATCATCAGAGCGGTATAGGAGATCCCAGTCTTGGAATTCGACCCAGCCTCCGGCGTTGGTATTGCTATAAAGACTGGTTAGCAGTGAGATTTGATGACGCGATGTTTGGTTTGAGCGCTAACTCGTAAATATTCTTGACCAACTTGGGCCAGTCAGCGATAGCACCGGCCATAGAACGGCAGAAAATGTAGTCAAATTTGGTTGTAGGCAACCAAGGGCTTTCGACATCGTCGACCTCGAATTTAACGTTTGACGGTACCCTTCTTCCCGTTAGAAACCATCAGATGAGGGAGAATCGTTGTTTAGCTCGTACCAAGTTGGTTGGTTTGCGCTCAGGTCGTTTCCGATAATCTTTCCAACCACTCAGTCAGCTCTTTTCCTGCAATTAAACTACAACTCATTTCGGGGGACAAATACGCACCTCAGCGTTGGGGAACAAGTCTCCCATCTCCTTAGCCCCTGTGTACTCTGTCAGTTGATCGGAGCCGTAGGGATGGAAAGAACTTGATCTACTCACAGATTCCAGTCCCAGTGCCAATGTCCAAGATGCGATGAGTTTTCTTCTGCTCAATTGGAGCTAAGTACAACTTGCCAATGGCTTTGAAGATCAAGGTCGAGAGGAAGTCAAGACGGTTCATCTCATTCTATTCAAATGTGGTTGTCAATAGTTGTGTCGTTAGCCTGGGTGACTATGGCAGCACCTCATCGTTTGGAGCATAGTAAGCTGTTTCTTGTTAGCTCATGAGAGCGAGACACATCGGCGACAGTATACTGACCTCCTCCTCGGAAAGCGTGATAACGACGTCCATGCTCTACAGGATAGTCGATCACACTGGAGCCTAAGGAAGCTGTGTAGGATGATCTGGCTCGGGTTGTGAGTTTCATGCCTGGGAACATTGGGTAGGGTGGAATTCTACATCTGATCATCAATCGTTGAAGCTCCATCGCTGACCTGGGCCCTATATAAGCAAGGATGGTATTCATTCAAGTCTGAGAAAATATACTACAATTACTGAGTCCTTCGTCAACTTCAATATCATCTGTAACTTCGCCTGCAACTTGGCCCGCGGGTGAGTTCTGCGCTACTGGTGAAGCAGTTTTTGACCGCGATGGACTCCGATTTTTCGGTGACGCGATCTTTGACTTGGCGGAAGATGTAGCCGTTGCCGCCGGGGGCGAGGCGGGCACCAGCGACTGAGCATTTGGTGATCCGGTCATCATGGAATTTGAGGGGGCCTTCGTTCCGAGAGTCCGGTTCAAGTAACGCAAATCTATCAAACTCTGGGCTAATCAAGAATAACTGAAACGGCGAACATTAGTTGAAAGACTTGGTGAAAGGTAGATCAAGCCAGACAATCAGCCAGCTTTGTACTCGCTGTTGGTTTCCCTGCATCCTGTAGGCTCTCGGCTATTTGGCACCTCGATGTTGGTGCGCCAAATGTGTTCAGCCATGCAGCATACGCAAACAAACGTGCCATTCATCAGCTTTGCCTGCATATCTCCGGGATGTATAGCAAATGAGAGCGTTGCCAACGGTTCCAGCAGCGGGGTGTTGGCCGTTGGTTGCAGTCAGGCTTTGTTCAGTCGAGACCAATTAAGACGGTTGCTTCCGGTCTCCCCGGTCTTGCTGTGGATACTAAGTCCGTCTCATCCGAAGCGATGCATAAAACAACAAGCGTACCCCTCTCTGGGAGTTATCGTTACTGGATTGAACCGGAAAGCTGACAGAGGGCTGCGCCAACCGAGGCAGGCCGAGCAAACCGGGGCCCTGCCTCACAATGATGTTTTCTGTCTGTGTGGCATCTCGAAGTTGATCTCATGAAGATAAGTCAGTAGCCTAAGCCTTGATTCAAAACTAAAATATAGTCAGACTTGACAACAGAGCTGTTGGATTCAATGCCATGCATCGCTATCATTGGCCAAGTTCCCTCCTCGGCCATACATAGTCGGAGCTTATTACTGGAGACAACATAATCATGTACCTCACATGAGCAGAAGTTTTCTACATACAGTATTTCTTACTCTGGCTTCTGTCCATAGACTACATGACTATTGGTCTTGTTAGCCACAGTTCGTCGTACCTTATTCCTCCTAGGGAAGTACTCACAATTCACCAAAGGCGTGAAAAACTTGCGATCTCAGCTCTTGGCGAACTTCGGACAACAGTGTCGATACCTCTTCCTCTGTTTTGCCAAGAACTCCACAAAATAGCCTCAAGGTGAATGCCTCGAGCCCGTCTAGAAGCTGTATCAAGTTGCCCAGGCCGATTTCTTGGTGGTACTCGTCTTTAGCCCACGGCCCGAGAGGCACCGTGATTGTCTTATGCCCGATGTTGATGAATCCTGCATCCTGCACCCAGCCCTCCAGCTTAGATCCAGGACATGGCTCAATACCACATAGCCTGGCTGCTTTTAGGAAAGCTTGATCCCACTGGTGTGTCTTATGATGGGGCCGCAGACTTCCGTTAAGTGACGAGAATTCAAAATCATAGTCCTGAAACTCAACCCATCCCCCTGGCCGAAGATTTCTGTACGTAAAGAAGGTCACCAGACATCCAATATTGTGCCGCTTCCATCCAGTGTCACATACTCATATGCTCTACTCACAAACGTTGGCCAGTCGGAGAGAGATCCAGCCATGTAGCGGCTGAAGATGAAGTCGAAATGTTTTTCGTGAACCCAATCGCTTTCAACATCATCAATCTCAAACCTGACATTGGATGGGACTCTTTCAATGATTAGCTAAAAATCAGAGATTAGAGAGGCAGTGGAAAGTTGCATGTCCTACAGTCTTGGCTGGACGGGGCTCAAGTCGTTACCGATGATCTGCTGACTCTCAGCTTCCGGCCGTATCATCAGATCCTAATACATACCAGCGCGTTGGGGAAAGTGTCGCCCATCTCGATCGCCCCTGACAGTCATAAGCTCAAAACTCTGGCACTCGTCTAATGTAGACTCACAAATACCCGTACCAGTACCGATATCAAGTACTCGTTGCATCTTTCTCACGTCAATTGGGGCTAGAAAGAGGTTGTACTTGAGGAACTTCAGAACCAGCTCGTGATTGTAATCCAAACGACCTAGTTCATCCTTGCAGCAACATGACCGCCTCGTCAGAGAAAGTAGCTCTCTTGCCGTTACTTCTATTGCTTACCTCGTCATTGGGGGCAAAGTAGGCCGTGTCAAGGTCAGCATGGTCCCGCAGCAGAAAACTCGATACACTCACCTCCAGCTCTGAACGCGTGGTATCGTCGCCCATGTTCTGTAGGGTAATCTACGACACTAGAGGTTACGGACTTGGTGTACGAAGACCTGCATCATTAGCTCTAATCGCGTGTGGCAACTCAAGCTCTTCATACATCCGGTCGTCAAGGGTCGAATCATTGTCCTTGTATATATGAGCTTAGTGTACTGCGTCTATAATAGGGCGGGCTATGGACAACTCACACTGTCACCAACTTCGAGTTCAACACCTTCATCACTAGTATCCGAGGCAATGCTCATAGGCGAGGCAGCGTCGGATCTATCCGAGGAACCTCCTCCGAGGGCGCTCATCTGGACTGCCGTCCCGATGTATTTAGCAGGTGTTCCGAGCGACTGAACCAAGGTCAAACAGATGAGTCTACACAGTAGCAAAACCTCCGAGATAGTGGAGAGAAGCACTCGCGAAGTGGCCGCGACCCAGCTGCCATGGTTTTGTATCCGACGATAGAGTCTGTCTTCTACATATCGCAACTCAGGCAACCGCTACTGAGTCTGTTGGTGATGGAATCATACAGCATGCAGACGGCCCAAGCAAGAATACCTAAAGTCCTACACCGGTCGTGATCCTGCAGACTCCCGAAGTCGCGAGCTAATCGGCGGCCTGCGATTTGACGCTTCGCTTCCATCGGCTGGGCGCTGTTGTCCTTGGCTCTGGTGAGACCAATCATGTCTCTGTGCGTTGATCGCCCCTGTCTCTGATCTGTGCCGTGTTGGGCGCATTACATGGCCCAACTTGCTTCGTGGACTGTTGGAAGAGGGAAAAGAAACGACATGCATACTTCGGGCCCGACAGGAGGGGAAACGAGCAGGTAGGAAAGGTCTCGATATCTTCCATTCGTGCGGACCATGGAAATCCGCAACAGTCATACCACTAGTAGGCATAAGCATTGCGATCAATTAAGGGGAAAACCGGTCACATACCTGTCTTTTTCCCTTACATCTCATAGTCGAGAGGGCCAACATCTAGTGAATTTCCCAAGAGCCAAGGTACCTTCGGCGAGAACTCCGTCTCCGAAAGCGTCGAGACAAGGAAGGGCCTCAAACCCCGCTCCTTCTCAGCCGACTCAAGAACTGATGGGACTGCAGCTCGAGCAAGTGTATGCCGAAAAGTGCTGCATATATCGGAGCGAGGTCGTGTGGTCCGCAAGGCGTAGCGTCTCCACTGGCCCTACGCTTATCCAAGAATCCATTCATTACTGTCTCGATAGCCTCTTCCACAGTCAGCCCGCTTATTCTGACCCTGGAATTCCGTTCCTCATTTTCGTCGCCTTCGTGGTTGTCTCGGGTGGCTGCGGATGTGCTGATCTGAAGTTCCACGTCTACAGTAGCTTCCCTGACTCGTTTGGCTTGTTCTTGATCGAAGTAAGGGCCGCTGATGTAGCTGACCTCGGTCGTTGAGTCGATTCGTCGTTGCGCTTCGGGGTCTTTTGCTTCTCTGATGAAATCATGAATGAGAACTCGAATCTTGTATCCGAGAATTGGGTCGGCATTGATAGATGAGGTCGTCAGCCTAGGAGACGTCGCGGATGGCGCTTGCGCCGTGACCGGCTTCTCTTTGTTTGTTCTAGGCATTTTTGCGCTTGATCTTAGTAAATTTCGTCATGTAGCGTAGCGTCAATTTCCGGTATCTACTGTCTACTCTAAATATGACCAGGAGGCGACAACAAGGTACCTTGTTGTGACAACGGAGATGTTACGGGACTCTATGTTTTTAAAGCACCTCGAATGCACCTTTACGTCTTGTCTAAGTGTATTGATACTTTAAAGAGATTAGATACCACTTATTATACGTCATCGTCTATATGTATCTACGGTATGACGTGAACTTATCTAGGTATTGCGACGTTCTAGTTCTTTCCTTAACTCTCTTCTTGCAGAGGCGATCTTGGTTACGGAACTACTGCGTTGAGTAGTGGAATGTGATTCATTTCTACAAGGTATGGGATCCACAAGTGGAAGGAGTGCGTGTTCAACAGGATGGGCGACAATAAATGATCTCTAAGGTGTCCAAGGATAGCATCGAAGGTGAAATGCTTTGGGTCTGAGAGTCTGGACTGCGTCATGAGCCAAGCACAGTGGTAGGATCTACCATAAGTAGCAAAGACTAGCCAATGGGTTATAAATTAAGTCTACCTATCCGATGTGCCTCATGATGGCGTCTGAATCTGATCTTGACTAACCAAAAGACTACTTTTGATCAATCACAGGGGCTCTACTGATCACGGCTCTACACCGAGGGAGGTCTCATGTCGAAAGCCTGTGCAGCCCAAGCCCAAGCAACCTTACCCTCCTCATATCCATATAAAGCATGCTCATAGACAGTAACCTTCCCATCCGGACCATTCTTCTGCAGATTCTTATTCTGAGGCACGCCTGAGATGGACAGCCTGACGGCGATCTGCTGCTTCTTCTCATCAACCACAAACTCGTCAACCTCATACTTGAGTCCGGCGATGACAGGCAGCAGAATCTTGCCCAGGAACCCCACGGCCCCGACCGCCGGCACTAGGTTCCCGTGCATCGAGATCGTCTCCGCCCACAGCGCCGGCAGCACGGTGGGCATGGTGCCGTCGTTGTAGCTGTAGATGTACTTGCGGTACAGCGCCTCGATCTCGGCGGCCGAGATTGGGTTCTGGGAGGCCTTGGCGGCGTACTCGGGCACGAACGGCGGGGCGGGCACGGGGCCTACTCCCCGGCTCTGTTGGTTTGCGACCTGGTAGAGACGGACAATCTTGCCGTTCTCGAAGAAGACGAGGATGAGGTCCCAGACCTTAGATGGGGTTCCCTCGGGGACATCGCCTGTTGTTGTGACGAGGCGGGCGCCGAGGGATTGGGCAGCCTCGTTGACGGTTAACTGGTCTGCGCTGAAGATACTGCCCTTATCGGCCGTTGTGGTGAGGCGGTTGATGAACTGGTCTCTGCTTTCTGTGTTTTCGTTGTAGGTTGCTCTCACTACCGGCTGGAGGTGGTTGTGAACTTCATCCCACTTCTTGTTGTTGACTGCGTTCAGGAAGGCCTGGAAGATGGAAACAATGTCTTGAGATGCCATTTTGTAGTCGATTGGAGGGTTGTCTGTCTTGAACCTTCGATTTTCTTCTTTCTCGAGAGATGGGTGAGAAGGTCTGGTATGATCTGGATATCCGATTCACAGTTGAGATAATGCTCGCCATTGTTATATATCCGTAGACGCATCAGCTTCTCATACCTCTAGCTCGTCATCGTCGCCAAGGGTAGCCAAGAGACTTCGGTCTCGCAAAGCTGACACTGAACGGGCGTTGTAGACGTGTAAGTCGGACCGTCAGCAAGGACCGACGGGCCGCTTTTGTTTGGCCGCCATCTTAATTGGACCAAGAATTGCTCATACGCCGGGCACAGAGCCTCATTGTAGTGTTCCCGTATTAGGACAATAGGAGTAGTCTGTATCGGCGGGGATGGGGGCGGGTCTCGGTAGATGCCGTCCATTTCAGTAATCCTTTACCGAATTTATGGGCAGGTGTTCTTCTTGAAGGCAACCCGTTGCCAGTCGTTCACGATTCAAATTTATTATACTTTCCCGAGCTTCTAAAGTTCGCCTCAGCACGCTCACTGGTAATTTCCTTTGCGTCAACGTAGTCTGACCTCTACACATAATGCAAGGCACTAGGTTTGCCTCTGCTTGTAGTGGACCTTAACTCGCATCCGAACTACAGCTTGACTTGAGCTAACCACGTCATTTGACAATCTTTGACACGCAACTCATTCTCATACCACCAGTTCTGCCAAACAGCCCCTGAGAATTGTAAGTTGAAAGATGTTGGCCGACCGCCTCTATGATTTTGCCGGTGTGTGAGAGCTCGGCCCACCGCTGGTGGATACCGGCTTCGCGCTGGCCCCATCTCCACGTCCGCCTCCGGTCAGCACCCCCGACGTATTTGCGATTTCTCGGCCCTTGCCATTTCAAGTCTGTCGGTTGCTTTAAGTCCCTCTATCACCCTCGTCGAAATCAAAAACGAAGCTTGCTTGACTTCTGAGTTCTTGAGTTACTTCCGATGGCTGCCTGGATTGTGCATGATGAATCTCGAAGGATCACCCTACGATGATGCTCATCAATTCTCTACCTGGCCAGTTAGCAGAAATGCTGACTGGCAACACCAAATGAAGTCCTAGATCACATTTGATGAACCGTAGCAGGAAAAAGGAAAGCCATATTGTTCCATAAACAGCTACAAGGGTTGGTGCCTCATGGAACTCTCGCCATGCCCTCCGTAAGTGTCTGGTCAGGAACTTCGTGGTTGACGTTGCCCGGGTTACCAACAGTTTGGACCGACTTTGGAGAGAAGTTCGCTAAAAATTGGTTTTGAGGTTGTGATTAGTCTGTGACACGGCCAATGAGAAACACAAACCCATTTCTCATTCTGGCACGTCTCTCTCGCCGTCGGCATTTCATTAATGCTGTTGCCTGATTTAGGCACTGCTTCCCTTGCTGCCATCGCTCAGCTTCATTTCCTTGCACAGTATGTTGTGTTCAGTGTTGGAAGCGAAGATCGAGGTTTTCTCGGTGCCTGTTCATGTTGCTGGTTGATACAAGATACGATCGCCTAGACAAACAACAGTGCATTCGCGTATCAGCATAAAACCCCACGTTGCCTCTGCGGTTAGGAAAACCAAACTTCGTCTGCATTCTCATCAGCAACCGACACATCTCCATCAACTGAACACAATTCGTCGAAAGTTAACATACATACCGATACTTGCACCTCCAAACAATTCCCATGGCCGCCGCCGCCGCCGAATCTGCCCCCTATACGGGTCCCTCTCCTCGCGAGATGATCGAAAGCCACACTCTGGCACAGGAGATCATCAACCGCAACAATGACGCCTGCCCCATCCTCGACTCTGATGAGCTGTCTCTCCTCTCCGATTTTGTCCAAGATCCATCGCGGGCACGCTTTCTTCTCGAGACTCGCGGACTGGCCGACGAACCCACCAAGTCTGGTAGTCTTGTGGCCTACGTCATCTCACTACATGGCACCGACAAGGCCGCTCTCACTGACGAGGAAATCAAGATCCTCAATAGATGGTTTGAGAATGACCAGAAGCTTTGATGCAATAAAGAAACATCCTGAGCGGGAATGGCGTGTTCGCATTCTCATGTAGCGAAAGGGCTTCATTGCGACGTGGCAGCGATCGTTTTGTGGGCGGCAGAAGCTAGCTTGACTATACACTGATCGACCAAGCCTGTCATATAATCAACAAATACTCTCACAAATGGCGATAGCACCTGGTCTCAAGGTTCAAGCCTGAACGTATTTCTTAAACCAGTGACAATGACAGCCTTTCTAATGGGATTATGGACTATGTGGTGCCAACCTGTAATCCTTTTCTCCATATCAAAATTCATGACCCATTCTTCAGCGTAGACAATATGTCGTACAAGTGGCACCTAGAATATGCGATGGAATTTGGTTCGATTTGAATAGTTTGCGACCCTCTAACTAGGTTTACCCACGGATGAGAACTTGTTCCTACGTTCTTGCTCCTTCCAACTAGTTCTGGCAAGATGGTAACGCAGCAAGAGCTGCTGTTTCCACTTTCACCAACACACATGATGTAGCACCGCAGTGCGGAAGAGCTTTCCATGATGAAAGTAGTTCTTTCTTGCCGTGCCATGGGCGCATCTCCTCCTTCCCTCTCTCCTTCATCGCTGAAAGCAAAAAGTACCAAGTACCTAGGTATGAAAAGAGGGGAGAAAATCGAGGAAGAGACATTCCAATAGAGCAAGTACGGACACTCCATGGCTGTTATAACCTACCGATGCTTTCGAGATTTTCCTCTCCAACACCGGACTTCCATCTACATGACCAACACCCGTGTCGATGGTCAAACTATCAAGCCGACGTGGTCAATTTGCGACGTATGTATTCTTTGACCTCTGATGTCACATTATCTGATTCATGTTCCCTCTTACCGCCAGTATCTAACATCGGCCCTTAGGTGCCAAGCTAGTCGGAGGTTGGCGAGGCGTTTGGAAGAAAACTGAAGCAAAGGTAGAATGTAATGCCTACTCGATCAAAGCCGGGCGTTAATCATTATTTCAAGGAACTCTTCGAATTATTCAATCGTGGCCATATCCGCCATCTCGTCGCAGCCCTTCCGCGCATCGACAATAGTCAATTGATATAGATAGCTTGGTGTTGCTGTCGGATCGTTGATCACTTGGCAGCAGTGCCCGGCTTGGGAATCTGCAGCTTGACGAAGACGCTGCTGAAACCCACTCAGCGTCGATGATCATGGCGAACAGACATCTCAGTGCCGGATACGCCCACGTCTTTGACAAGCGCCGAAGACGCCTCAATCCTACATGTGGGCGAACCCAGGATGGTCCTAGACCTGTCGATCCTCGCAAAGGAACGACGTCCGATTTGTTGGAATGCGACATAGGATTCATCTAGACCCCATAAGCATAATCGAATCGATGTCAAGCGGCTTGCCTCGAATAGCAGCCGCGCGAGCGCACTCGGCCGCCCCTGAGTGGTGTTCAACGTCTGACTGTACCAGGCTCGAGCTTCAGAGTTCGCAGAGGCCTTTACGCTCTTCCCATCGCGCGTAGGCTACAAGATCAACTTCGCCTACGATGTAGATGCTACGAGCAGCTCCCGAGACGAAACTCTCGACACAAATTTCGCCATGCAGAACGGCTGGTCCAAGTACCCTTCAAACCGTCATTCCGCTCCAGGGCATGGCTGCCAAAGCGACATATCTCAGATGGACCCCAAACTCGGCATCGCGGATCCCCTCCAACGGTATCCAATGCCTTTCCCCACACTCGTCCTTGACCAAACCACGCCAAATCATGTCTCGTTGCCGCGACCCAATAAGACGTCGCAAGGCATCTAGGCGAAATTGAGTCTCGGTCGCATCCGCAGGTCGCCCCCCTTCTTGGTTGATGGCGGAAATGGCAGACAAGCCAGACAAGAGCATGCTCTCCCCCGGAACCCCTCCGGAGCCCATTCCGTCCATGACACCGGTTTCGTACGCCAACCAATGTGGGAGCGAGACGGCTGTCCAAACGAATACCTACAGACTCTTCGCGAGTCCCCCACAGAATGTTTCGTTTCAAAGTGAGATGGGAGTTGGAGCACCGCGGATCTGCTCAGCCACCAACACCACACCACCGTGGCCACCACGTTTGACTGCTCATCGAGAGGGAAAGTTTTGTCGGGAGAGCATGTATCTTTGCACGGACAGCAAGCAAGATGGCCTGCCCGCCATAACACCCCACCATCCTCTTTGGGCGACTCAGCCGCAACTCAGGCTCGCATCCCTGCGAGCTGTAAGTAGCAAGCCACACCCTCCCTGCCTGTCTATGGCTGTCGTTGATCTTCTGGGTTGATCCTATCAAGTCAGTTCAGCATCACCTTGACTTTCCTTCCCGTCCCCCCTCTCTTCCCTCCGTCTCCGAATGCCGACCAAGGGTTGTGACATGGAACGTTGCTACTGCGAAGAAACTAGACTTGGCCCGCCAAACTCAGCTTTCGAGGATTCCACTTCCGGGCTAGTGTAAGTTCTCGTTGTCGGCATAGACATTCCGCACAAGAGGAAAAGCAAAACGGCGAAACAGCAAAGGGCAAGAGCAGTTTTGCTTCGTATCAAGCGCGGAGCAAAATGTCCCCTCTTTATGCGTCGGAGCTGTCAACCCCATGCAACTCTTCATGCGTCGCGAGCTTAGAGTCGCCAAGCTGCAACATTCTCTTGTCGACACTTGACAAGCAAAGTCAAATGCCCGACTCCCACGATCTCTCAAGTAGGAGACTTTCAGCCTGAAATCTGCCACTCCCTAAACAACCTACCGACTGCGACACTTTGTATTCAACATGCAACCTCTTTCAATTTTCTCACTCAGCGCAGTATTCCAACGGGGACGCGTAACTCTTCCTTCCGTGAAGCCTCAAACAACTCAGCAGCGGCGGATGGCACCATCCCCAGCACCCGTCAGCACCACCTGCATCCCAAAACATGATAGATGCCAACACGAATCTTATATCTCAAATAACCAGAGAGAATGCCGTTTCCAAACGCCCACCTTATTTTAGCTGAGTAGCCGAGCTCGAGACACCGCGAAATAGGCCTCTCCCCCCTTTGCCCCTTTTCCTTCTATCGCGTGCTCGCTTTTAACGCCGTCTCAATAGCGAAACTCTTGCGTGTCGTAACCAGAGAGCCGAATGCCATGGTTGAAACCGTGCCAAAGTTCCCTTGCTTCTATATCCCCGTTCCCCGGGGCCGGTTGAACCCATCTGGCCGCCCGTTACACCTGTCTCGCCTGTCGACATCCGACAGAACAATAATTCCCCCGACGTTCAGACGTTCCCCGTCCGTGCGAGCGTCTGCCTGCCAGCAAAGGGCCGACTTGGGAGCTGGACCGTGTTCCGAGAAGCATGGTGGTGGTGTGGTCCACGTAGGGGGTGGACATGTGTAAGCTGGGCGTGCGACAACTGACCGACAGCGGCCAGACCAGGATGGTTGATCACTTTGTGTGCCCACCGGCAAACGCTTAGACGCAGTGATCAGTGATACCCGCTGATCGTCCCTAGAAACCCCCGCCTTCTAGAACTTCCCGCTCAATGCCGCCCAGTCTTTGGACAAGCTCACTTTTTTGTAAGATTCTTGCTCTCGCCCTTGTCTAGAAAGAGTTGGCTGATCTAGACAGGTGTGGGAAGTCCAGAAGTCGATTTCTATCGCGCGCCAAATCATGAATATTACATTGTCTCGATAGGGTTGGTTCTCATCTTTGCCTTGCTGCAGCTTCTGCCCCGAGACCAAAGAGGATGGACAGCATTCTGAGCAGGTAATCTGTACCAAACGTCTCTAGGGGTAGCTTTTCTGTTGTTGCCTCTAGAACAATACTAAAATCCAATATAGTCAACTGCCAGCTCCGAAGACGCTTTCAGCTGAGGACCGGTCGCTCTCGCGAACAACGATCTTGGAGACCATTAGAAACAGCTTGCCCCTTAAAGTGACGAACTCTCAAAGGTGTAAGTGTCTTTGCCGAGTTATGCGTTGGATGCACAGCGCTGACTTTAAGAAGAAGGAAAAGGAAAAACCTCAAGGACCATCGCTAACCCGTCCGAACCTGGTCCTGGACCCTTCAAAAACCTTTTATATCTTTTTTGATGTTGGCTTTGGTTTTCGAGGCTGCCCAAACTGGCATTTTATCTGCCCGACTTTATGCGCCTTGGGTTCCTATCCAGCCCTTCCCCTCGACTCCCTGCCGCAGCCGAGCTGTGCTTGTCAGATTTCGCGGGTCTACTATGTAGATAGTACTGCTTCCCCAAGACCGGGATGGACGGTCCTGTCGAAACTTGATACCCAAAATAGAGAAACATGCAGAAACGTAGAAATGTAGAAACGCGGGGGCTTGTTTTTCAAAGGGGATAAGCACACCCACACTCGACACCACCCTTTCCCCCTCCCCTCCCCTCCCCTCCACTATCCTCTCCCCTTACTGAGGTGAAGCTGAAAAACGAAAGAAAACCTCAAGATGGAGGGGCAGATCTTTTTCCTGTTTCTTTCCCAAAAGTGCGTGAACATGCGAGCGTCCCAACTCTGTTCCCCCCCATCACGCCCATCAACCCAGCATCTCAAGGTCCCCCTCAACCCTCAACTTCAGGGTTTCGCCGGCTCAATTACTTATTCCTTACGCTTACTCACTGTAAAAATGCTCTCTTCCAACATCTCAACCTCAGCTGGCACAACCCACATGCCTGCTCGTTGACCTCCACACTTGGGGTAAAAGAGTGAAGGGAGAAGGGTTTTTTTTTTTTTTTTTTTTTTTTTTTTTTTTGAAATCTTTTGAAAAAAAAAAAGTCACTTATGCACGAGGGGAAAGAGACACGTAAGACACATGTTGGTGAACAGAATTTTGTTCGAATTAACTAATAGCGTAAAATGCAAAATCACACTTGAGCTGCGTGTAAGCCAGACCCGGGCCAAAAAACCTCCAGGGTTTGCCAAAGGTCGCTCATGATATTCCCCCCTTGCTAAAAAAGAGAAAAGGGTTTCCTGCACCCTCTGCCGCTTGAGAAACGGCCAAGTCAAGGTTATCTGACCTGCACAGCAGATCCAGAAACCCGGCTTGTGTTCCCACGCGACTCTTGATCCCTCGCCCAAGCAATTTAATGCTTCTCCGAATCTTCTTCGGTGACGGCGGGGTCTCTCATGCAGGAGGGCGAGCTACACGTCGCCTCTTCCTCCCTGCCCCTTGCTCACGTTCCCCCCCTCCTCGAAGCTGCCACGGGCGCGACCCCCCTTCCCCAGGTTCCACACAATGACCCCCAGCCCGGTAACAACGTTCCGTTCACATCCAGTCCCGACTCGCAGGTTTCCGTAGTGTCGTACTTGTGTCCAGGTGGGGTAATCAGCATGGCCTGATTTGGGTTCGTTCGCGCCCATGTAAGTCGAGCGGGGATTATCGTGAGTGTGATAGCAGAGGTTCCAAGACTGTGGCCAGAGGTCTCTGCATCGTATCTTGCCCAGCAAGATGGTTCTTTCTGCGATGCCCAGCTTCTTTTATTCTGTTGATTCGAGTCCCATCTCTCCTCCATTTCCATGCCAGCCGTCTCCCTTGGGCGCCGCGATGAGCCTCGAGGGGACGGCTGAAGCCAAAGATCTTGTCGACATGCCAGTGTCTGCCTTGACAGTTGCATCCCTGATACAACCATGTCTCAGCTACGCGATGATTGTTGTTTGGGTTTATCGACCTTTCGCAAAGAAGCGTTGCTATTATTGGATCCGGTCCGGTTTGCAAGCCTTTTGCTGTAACTGCAATTCGATAGCCTGTGCGAAGCGAAGAAAACCAAGAAAATCGTATGTCGTGGCATCAAGCCTGGAGCAACGTCGTCTTGATTCGTATCGTTGAGCGCGCAGTCGTGAATATTCGTCATTGGTCGTGAAATGGTTGTCATGAATCATCCGTAAGACAAGAACCCAAGCCCAAGGAAAGGAAAAGAAAGCAAAATGCGCAGCTGTTGGTATCTTCCGATCCAGTGTAATGCCGATGGGGGTATCTCTAAGAAAGCCTCTTAAACCAAACAAGAAAATAGGACCAGAAAAAATAGAAAACCAAAACGGGGGAATCGAGAATGAAAGGCTGTCGGTTTCTTCTGTCTCGGGCTCCAGGCCTGGAGCCGAGCGGGGGGGGTTTTGCATTGCTGCGTGTTCCTCTTGTGTAGATGAGAGAAGACCCAAAGGAAATAGTAGAGAAAGGGGAAAAGAGAACAGGCCGCCTATATGTTCGAAAAACCCCCCAACCCAAATGTAAATGCACTCAAATGCCCGCCCCGGACCCAGCCATGATGAGATGATTCGAATGAAAGGTGACCGAGCTTGCGGCAGAGTGAGTGGTGGTGGTTGTTGTTCCCCGGATATCGAAAAGACTGTGAAAAAATCATACGCTCGCTTGCTGCCGACAAAAGAAAAAACCCCCAATTATATCTTTTTTGTTTCGTTGTCTCGCGAGTCCCGTAACACCGTTCGCTCCCCTGCTGATGCAAAACGCCGATATGCCTGTGGATGATTCTATGCCAAGCAGACCGAGAAGAATTCAACTTTTCTCCGGGAAACATGGGACCATCGTGCCTGGCAATGCTTATGAGGTCGTCACGACAGGGTAAGTCTCAGATGCAACGGATTCTGGTTGTCACATCGTCGTCGTGTACTCCTGGTAGCGATCCCAGCCAAAGCCACCGTAGCCGACGCTCACACCACATTGAGGCGTGAACATGCTGGGGAGAGGCAATGCTGGGATGGGCGCCGTGATTGCTGGTGCACTGTAGTAGAACCCGGCCGTGGAGAAAGGTTGGCTGTATGCAGGCGTAGGGGAGGGGATCTGAACCTCGCTCATGCCAATGTTGGCCCAGATTGGCGTTGACTCCTGAGATGTGGAAGCAATGCTCGGACTTGATGGCAGGACTCTCCACGCATCGACGGCGACTAGGCTGGCCGGCGTAGGGGGTTGCGACCAGATGCTGGCGTTGGCGGGTGAGCTGGGGAGCAGAGGTGGTTGTCTGATGACATCGACAACACGGGGAGGAGGAGGCAGCAAGGGCTTCATGAGGCCCATGATGTTGTTCTTGACCTCCTCGCTCTTACCAGAGAGCAGCTCACCAGCGCCTTCTTCCTCGAGCCCTTCCAAGGCAGTGACATGTGTGCGGTAGACAAACTTGTTGATGGCTTGGACGAAATCCTCATGCAGCTTCTTGCACTGTTGGTCCTTCTCAGACCAGTCATAGGTGTTGGCCTTGCTGTCGACGCAGTGAATTTCCTTGTGGTACTCGACCAAGGCGTCTATTGAGTCGGTGGTGAGCTTGAAAGCGACCTCGTTGCGCAGGACCATGTCGACGTGGACAATGTAGGCCTCGATGTGGAGAAGCTGGTAGTTGAACAGGGCCTCGACGAGAGGGTTCTCATCCTGGCGCAAGTCGGATTCCGGGGCCTTGGGGAGCATGATGGAAGTGAGAGTCCAGATGGCGTTGGGCGATGAAAGTGTCTCGGTCAGACATCTTTGATGTTGAGGGACGCTGTTGAGTGGACGCTTGATCCGGTTGATGCGCTTCAGTGTCTGTGTCAACCACGGCTCGACCTTGGATCCCAGCACGACGTTGACGGATGAGGCTCTCGGGGCGAAAGCAGCCGCAGAGGCTGGTAGCAGTTGAACAGGCATGTTGATGGCGGGGATATCTGGAGTGGAGGATGGAGGAGAGTCTGTGACCGGAGGAGGAACGGGGAGGATCAGTTGGCGTGAGATATGACAAAAAAGAGGCGGTTTGGTCGTTATCGTTGTCGTCGTTGTGGTCGTCAAGGATAAGTCTCGAATAGGGGAGGGTCTTTTGGATGTTTAATATCTTGGACGGTATTCTTGTTGATCTTGAATCTTGATAGACACCTCGAGAACAGCGGGGTGGGGGAGGGGGAGGATAGACGGGGGAGGGAAAATGAAGTAATAAAGGAAACAAGTGATGACGGAGCTGGGCGGTCCCAAGGATTCCGGGAGGATAACAAGGGATATTTGGCTTGCACGCCTGCTACCGCGAATAAGAAGAAGAAGAAGGCAGACGAAGAGCTCGTGAAGAGGAAGAGGGAGGGTGAGAAGAGACAGGATGTGGTGCGAGGGTGGTGGGGTGTTATAATCGCCCGAGAGAGAGACAGCCCTGGGGCCCGGCTGGGGCTTGGAGAGAGAGAGACGGGACCTGAGAGAAAGAGCCTGCGGTCAACCTTCCTTGCCCAGTCGTGTTCACTGCTGTTCAGCGCAGTCAGGGCCTGTCATGGGGGTACGAGTTGGGTAGTAAACTCGCTCCCATCCGGTGTGGTGCTTGCTGCGGCTGCGGTACGGTGAAGTGACGAGTACCCGAGGACTTGGACTTATGCGTGGGACAGGGGTGCATCTGGCGGTTAGGTCAAGTACCAGGGTACACAAAAGTGAGTCTTTTCCCCATTAGACCTTGTCCCGCTACGGAGTATTGGTACTGCTTCTCTTTTTGCACCTTGCGCACCTCACTCCCGCCCACCCCAAAGGGAAAAAAAAATAGGTATTGGGTGACTACTGGTACCCTCTCTTCCCCATTCGCCTCGACCAGCCCGGTCTTTCGGCAGGCGGTCCCCATGGTCCATGGTCCAAGAGGCGGGAAGAGGGCGCAAGTAGAGAGGGAGGGGGGGGGGGGGAGTGGAGGGGTGTGGCAGGTTACCTCCACTACGAACTTGTCACTAGCCACTCCCTGCTCCTCGCTCTTTGCACCCCGTACGAGTTGAGGAGCAAGTGGAGAGAGAAAGAGAGAGCCAGAACCAGAGAGTCAGACCCAGATCTCTCAGGCTCCGGATCTTACATAGAACCTAGAGCTCCGAGTTCAAAATACACTACCACAATTGGTACCTAGCTGGCAGAGACAGGAAGGCAGAAAATCCATCATCCTTGGATGATGCACGCCAGCGGGGGCAGCGCAGCGCGCTGTGCAGTAGCATCGGATCTCCCTATGGCGCCGGGGACTACTTGCTATACACAGTAGGTAGGCGCCTCCTAGAGGTACATGTATAAGGTAGCCATGGACCAGTACCGTACTTGTGTCTGATCCAAGGACAGGCCCTAGGCATCAGGTACTCTGAATGACTGGCTCTTTCTGTATCCATACGGATATAGGTAGCTACGCAAGTAGGCCTCAGGTTAAGGTAGCCTCGGTGCGCGGTGCATGCATCTTGGGCCGGCTTCCAGGTCTCCTCCTCGCCTCACCCGGATCTCCATGCATCTTGCTCCCTCTCCTCTCCCTCTCCTCTCCCAACGGGGCCCTGTTACCTCCATGACCGGATATACTATGGAGCTGAGGGCCGGCGGCGGCGGCCGGGGGGAGCTGGAAGCTGGAGACCAAGGCTTGCTGGCTTCGTGGTTGGCGTTGGCGTTGGGGCCGTTGATGCTCGTCCTCTTCATGCCAACCTGCATATTCGTAGAGCATCCTAGCCCGTGGCGGATCTAGTAACGATATCCAGTAATAGGACACGTCAAAGTCGGTCGATGGGAGGACTCCAACGAACATGGACCTGCGCTGGTCGTTGGCCTCTCGAGTTCAGTCCGTTCGCCATCGCCATTCCACTCATGCGCTCTTCATCTTCTTTTGCCAACATGTCAACCAAATTCGTTTGGCCTCACAACGCAGTAGTGAGTTTCCAGCCCACCTCGGCTCAGTAACTCCCGCTCCGGACAGGCCCTAAGTAACGTACATGGGCCAAGGAGGCAGCTACACACCACACCTCCCTCCCACTATTTGGCGTTTGCACGGATGTCGTGAGTCTGGCCATGTCAAGTTGCAGAGTGCCCGTGTACACAATAAACTAAGCAGCCACACAGCTTAGTGAGCCGAAGCAAGGTTTGGCAGGTTGGCAAGCTTAGGCTAGGTGGCCTAGGGCAAGCCAGGAATTCCCTGAATGCTTCGGATGCCGTCGCCTGCGTGCGCCGCAAGCTTGGGCCAGCACCTTTCCCCCTCCCCCCTTCAGTCTTTGGTTTTTACTCTGCCGCCTTTGGCAACACCCTTCTGTGAGAGTTGTGAAAGCGATGTAACCAAACGTTGTCATGTTGGCTGGTGGTGGTGAAGTGCCGCTGACTGAGGCGAGGTGGCAGACTGCCCGTTGAGTCGGAACGTTACGAGCGACAAAATGACTTCGAGTGGTTTTTGTCTTTTCACGCTATTCCTCTTGGGTCAAGATTTTACAAACATATGTTTCCCATCTTGGTTTAGACTCTCCAAACTTCAGAGAGCGTGGCTTCTGAAAAGCGTTGTCTGAGGCGTGCGTCGTCTTTTGCATCTGCGCCACATTTCGCTATAGGCCCAACGCTGTGGAATACAACCTCCAAAGACGACCTAGAGAAAGTCTGGGATAAGTCTTGAAGATCCTTCCAACAATCTCGAGGTTGCGCCAACACGATGCGAAGAGGTGACAAAGCGCAACGAACAACCAGGCTCGGCAATCCATTCGACCCCCGGGTAAGGCTTGCTTAGGTCGGGCGTGGTAAGGCGAAAAACAGGCAAACGAGCGATTCCTATGGGCTTAGGTACGGGGCACCGGAGACGGCGCAAAACGCTCTGGTAGATCTGTCTTTGGGTCAGAACAGACTGCGGCATCGATTCGGGGCCCGTACTGATACAGTATGTCCCAGGCAAAATATCCGTAAACCAAAGTATAGTGAAAAGAATTGGGCATAGGTTGCTCCCTCTAATTTGCCGTCCACCCTCCTTCGGCCCCGATCCCGGTTCAGAAAATCGCGGCAGATTCGGTTGACGGCAATGAGCAGCGAAGTAAAGTGTAAATCTTTTCGCTTTTTCTGGATCCAAACCGATGTAGACTCTAAAAAAAGGTTCAGAGACGGGTGGGAAAAAAAGAAGAGTATCCGATCTCTGTAGTCTGTACAAACTACATGCCGAGCTGCGCTGCGCAGCGCATGCGCTTCTGCATGAAGCGAGCGAGCGAAAGCGACGGCGGCGCGGCGGCGGCGAAAAACTTGCGAAGAGACTGACGGAGGGCGAAAAAAGGTCCCCAGAAATTATAGTAGGGACCGCCGTACAAGATCAGGGCTGTGCTGCGACCTGCATATGCTCAATGACAGAACCCGAGAGGTCAGGCGAATGGGAACCGTCGGATCCCGCAAAAGAGCCCAAAATCCCCAGCAGCGAGCTGAGAATGACCGATGTCAGTGCAGATGCAAGCGTAGGCCTGGCCGTGCTGCCATGCCCTGCCATGCCCGACTAAGGTCACTTGTAGCCATCGCCGCCCTTCCAACTTCTCTCCGCCTTCTGTAAGAACCTGTGGAAGCCATCCCAATCCGAATTCTTGGTCCGTTCTTTTCAGTCCAGTGTCCGTGTGTACCTCTCCACAGGTCTGCATAAGGCACCTGTGACTTGTCGGTGTCGTCCGTGGCCCGTTCAGAGGCTTCGCGTCCTCGTACACGCCACAGAGGTCTTTCGCAAGGCGAGGGAAGGCGAGAGATCGCGTGCCTCAGGTAATCAAGAGACTCGGACGTCATACCCAAGTGAAATACGGTGATGTGGTCGCGAGGTGGCCTCCAGAGCTGGCATTTCAGGCGGACATCTTGCTTGAACACCTGTCCGCATGGGTTGCGTTCCCACTAGTAGGCAAGCTGTCCTAGTCCTTGAGCTCCGTGGCCTGTGCGAACAACAAGAAAGTATGGGACAGCAAAAGCAGCCTAAACTCGACCCTTGTTACCAACCCTCCTACGCCGTCCGTCCACATTCCAGACAAGGCAGGTAAGTCGTCGTGGTAGCCGCATCTTGCTTCCTGTATATCTCGTTCCGTACGAATACGTTGTGCGGTGCATCTGTTGCCTGAGATTCCTGTGTTTGCCGATCGAGGACACACAGGGAATCCGGGCTCCTGGGCCTGTTGTTCTAGTCCTGTAATCGCAGGTTGCCGCCACCCTCGGGCCAAGTACCCTCGTACTGAACAGAGTGTGTCGTTGAAGTACTGTACGGATACCATGGAGGTCCACTGGTATCTTCTCACCAGGTCGGTACTTTCCCCCTCTCTGTACTCCGTTGCGTTCGCAAAAGTCCACGGCCAATTGTCTTGATTTGATAAATCCCACGAGAAACTCGTCCGCATAAAGTCTGAATTTTGAATCTGAATCCGTGTCTCTCCGGCTAGAGACAGGCCCGACGAGAGACACCTCCGACTTGTCGTTGCCGTCGCACAAGCCGCAAACCCAACTGCCTAAGTTCCCGGACAGCCGATTGACAGAAAAGAAACAATCGGGACTTGTCACTGCTTGTCAGGAATGTTTCTGTCTCAAAGAATACCTACCCTTGCTTGCCGGCACCCACCAACCCCAAGCGCCTCCTTTCACATGTATCTTGTGAAAAGCGTACCCCTGGCTGCTGAGATGCAGGGTGCGTCCTGGTTGAAGAGCTGCCAGTTTCTTTCCAAACCGATGCTCAGTGAAGTGGGGTGAACGAAAGTATGACTGAGCCGTAGCCTCGACGTCTACGGTCCATGTAGCACTTCGTCTGACAAGTGCCCATGATCGGGTCACCCTTTCGCAGGGTCTGCACCGGGGCCGTCTAGATCGCTTCCGCGGTCATTTCAAACCATCCGAGCCGGGCCTTCTCACTATAAGCAAATTTCGATATATCATATTGCAAATGTTACCCATCGTGATCTTTCACCTGCTCGCATGTTCCTTGATCATGCACCTTGCTCTTTTTGCGAGGTATCAGATCTGCTTGAGTAGAGCCTTCGGCGTACAATCATCGCGAGGGCTGCCGTGATTGGAATACATTTGTGATATCATGCTCAAGGGCACACCAGCCTGCGCAGGTCCAGACCTTTTGCTACCTAGGATGGGTAGTACTGAATCATGCAGGCGTGAGAAATTCGAGCTGCCTATGTCGACTCGTCTGACGCTAGGAAACTATCCTGAGGTTCCGTCAGGAGGTTGCCCTTATGCACCTGACTGTATCTGTCCACCTTTGACGATCCAAAGACCGTGGCTCGTATCTTGTTAGTTAGACCAGGGATAAGGCATGACTACATTCGACAAGCCCACAGAGCCAACGCCATGGCCAAGACAGCCATGGCGATAGAGGTCGTTAGTGATGGTCAATCTTGCTTTGGCCTTGCTGAGACCTCATCGGAGATGAATGAGGCGTCTTCTGATAATCGTCATAAAATGGCCTGTCTGTCTTGGCCAGTCGTGTGGTTCAGACGCTGCTTCTCACTTTCTACCAATTATTAGTACCTTTATGACTTGCATGTGCCTGAGGACGCTTCTGCGTCTCGCCCTGCATCATGTAGGTTCTAGCAGCAGATCGCCTTTGAAACGACGCAGGCGCGGCCGCGACGGCGGGTAGACCCAATAGCCCGCATAGCATTGTATTTGACCACGACTGGGCTTCTCCATATGCAACTTAGACCTCCTTGGAGAATAGGGTCGCAGTTGTTGGGCCGGCTCGACTTTCACGAGACTCAGGGCATGACCATGATTGGAGCGGCCAAAGAAGCCAAAGGAAGAACCGCTAGGGAAACAACACTAAATTGAACCGCCTACAGTCCCGGCCGGGCTCCGCCTTGGACAGCGATATCAAACCAGATGGCGCGGCGTACCGCAATGGCAGCGTTGCTATTCCGTCTGAGAACTGGCGTATAGAGCGTTTCCGGAAGCGTGGGATTGCCCTCCTCCCTTCTGAACTTCGCATCGCCGCCGAGCCGATGGGGGTTGGTCCGTCCTAATGGAACGGGATCCAACATCGTTGTGGAGATATAGAAAGGGTGGTCGAGGACTCGAGGGTGTAAACGTCGAGCAATGACAGCCTGTAGACGGCTTTTTGCAAGGTTGTAGTCCTTGCTAGCGGCCGAGGTGAGCTGAGGTGTGGTTGGGAAAAAGCTGGCTTCTGGTGCCTCATTGGCTATTGAGCTGACGGCCAGATTCGGGCTATGTGGGCCTGGACGGGAAAAGGCCGAGTGACTTCATCGTGATTGGCAAAAATACTCAAATTCTGGCTTGATATTAGACCAATCATGAGCGAAATGTCCAAGAGGTCCATCATGAGGAGAGACGGTTGGAGTCCAAACGCTCCTAGGAACTTCCCCTTGACTCCTGAAGGACGCAGCGGAAGCTTGCTGAGCAATAATGGCCGCGTTAATGGCGCAACGACTTTGGCGCCAGTTCAGGGGACAGGCGGATGAGCAAGGTCATGGTCATCAGGAGACGTTACATACCAAGATTACCAGATTGGGAAATGGCCTGCCCCGTTCGTGAGTGCCCGGTTGCAGGAACAACCGTTCTCGAACCTCTCCAGAAGCGGATTGAGATCTATCACAATCAATCTGCCGTCCAATCGAGTTGCCAAAATGCCTAACCAGTTGCTGTTGACTCAAACAAGGGGGTAATCGCCCAGAGACATGTCCAGAAAGCAAGCAAAAAACCTGGGTACCATGTCGTTGTGAACGGAATATTGAACCATGACATATTGGTATTGTGGCAAAATGGATTCGTTTGCAAACAGATCCGAATACGTGGTTCCCTGCCAAATTCTACATTCTCATACAGGCGGAAGCTGGCTGTACTGCGACCCGGTGTCGGCATCGCAGGGAGAGACAGTGTGGATTTGCAATGACACCCTAGACGGATGTGAATGCTCGCTTGGGAGTCTGAGGACAGTGAGAGAGCGGCGGCTGTCCGGCCATAGACGCGGCAGAAGGCAACAGAACGGGCCATCGTGGAGTCGAACAAGCGGACGCTGTGGAGTCTCTCTCGTAGCAAAGTCGGCAGAAGTCGGCTTCTGTGCCGT